TCCTAGTCTGTTGGACGGCCTCTACTGCAAGCTTCCTTCGACACGAGAGAGAGAGAGAGAGGTCGGCACAAAACGTAATCAAGCAGATGCGGATGCTGGACAAGTGTTTGAACTGTGGACTTCTTCGGGCTGTTGTTTGTATCTCTAGGGTTGGTAGTATGGTATTCGGTACTCTCGCAGCGGATGTTGTGAAGCTTGCTCAGTGCTTGAGCTGGCTTGAGCAGTGATTTCACACGACCGATCAAAACGGAGCCTAGTCCCAGCTTTGTGAGCAAGCCCTTCGCGCTCCTTACCTGAGATCTTGAGGCATGGCCCGTCTTGGACAGCTTTCCGGCCTCTGCAAAGAGGCGTGACGTGGCAGCGTCTGGCCTTCAAGTAGCTTGTATCTTGGGCGTGGATGGTAGGCGTAGGCTAAGCAGTGGCAAGGCTGTTTGAAGCCTTGCGGGGGTCTTTGTTTGAGGTGTTGCGGGGGGCTTTAAAGTCCTGTAGAGGGCTCTGCTTAAAGTCTTGTGGGGGGCCTCTTCTTGCGGTCCTGTGGGAGGGCTACACTTGTGCAAAGCTACGCTTGGGGCTTGTGCAAAGCTATGCTTGGGGCTTGTGGAAATCCACGCTTGGGTGTGCCTGTATGTCGAAATCGGTTCAATATCTCAATCGATTCGCTCCTTGGCCGAAGGAAGAGTATGCTTCAGTTCTTCAACGCTACGAGACCTTTCTTTTGGCAGCACAAATGATTCAAAAGTTCCGGGTTTCACTCCGCGCAAGGCCCTGCTGGCTGTACAAGGGAAGCAAGCTCTGAGTCGTGTGGAAGCAGGATCGCTTCAAAGGGCAAAGACGCGTGATGGTCCTTGAAGGAGCCAACGGCCAGGCAAAACAACAAGTCCAGGCTCTCGGACGTGGCTTGTGGCAGACACTGGAATTGACCACCAGCTTTCTTGAAACGGTTGTTTCCGTGGCGAGCCCAGTCCTGCTTGGAATTGTGCTGCCGTCCGCAGACTCCTGTGCTGGAGCTCTAGCAACGTCGTTTCGGCTTCCCTGTGGTAAAGTTCATTAGAAGAAGCCTCGTTTGGCCTGACGTGCTTCATATACCGATGAAAAAGCTTTCCAACAGCGTTGCTTGGCCTGCGCATCGTGTCACCACCACCACTGGTAGCTGCTCCGAGTTTGTGCGGTGGAGTTGAAAAGTGCAGCGCGTAGTGCTGCAAGCTTTTTTGTAGAAGTTGTTTTTGCTAGCGATGGCGGACGAGCCGTGAGGAACTCCCGACCTTGGGAATCTGCCAGAACGCAGTAGGTGCACCGCGCCCACCGTGTGGGAGGCTGCCGCGGACGTGCTTTGGAGGTCGAGCAGTGGCAAGCCCTGACAGAGCCAGCGCGTGAAGTCCACCCGCACTTGGTTCCACACCAAACAAAACCGACTGGCTTGCACACGGCTTCGGCAACACGAGGCTCTTGCGAACCCAATCGCCGAGCTTTTGCATTTAGCCGCTGCGACATGCTGCTTTGTCTCATGGTAAAAAGGCCATACATCCTCATTGCACCAGCCGTTCTACCACAGGAGGTCAGAAGTCGCCTTGAAGGGTGCGTTGTCGCTGGCTGTGTCACGCGGAATACGAGGTGGTCGGGGCCAACTGCAAGAACAAGCAAGCACAACAGACTTGCCTGGCAGTCCACGGAGAACATGGCGATTGCATCTTGTGCAAACGCTCGCAGGGCACATACATTCGTGAATTCACATGCAAACGGCTGTGCTGGCATTCCCTATGACGCCGTCCAGCCGAAACAGCCTGCAAAACAAGCTGAAAACTTAGCCCCTGCACACTGAGCGGACAGGAACCTACACCCCGGAGCAGAAGTCTACAACCTGGTAGTAATGTGCACTCGAGGGTGCAAAACCTCGGCGATACAAGAAAGTGGAGTGCTCGCAATTGAAAGTTGCTTGAATCACATCGGGCATGGCAACATACCTAAAGGAGCAGGGCTCATCTCAAGCCGGTCCCAGAAGAGCAAACTGTAGCTGCCGCGACCCTCAAGCATGTTCCACACGCTCCATGCAGTGACATCGCGTACAAAGATAGGGCACGCGCGAAAAGGACACATCTATCCGACATGCACATTAGAAGGTATGCGCAAGCCATGCCAGGCATTGCTCATTTAAGGGGCGGTCGTGAAATCTCCACTTCCATGATAAAATTGCTCTCACAAACTGGCTGAAGATTGCCAAGCCAGGAAGACGGAGTCGGAGTGCTGGAGCACCAAGTCGTTGCCCATAGTACTGGCCCAGTACGTCAACACGGTAAGTAGAGGAATCGTCTGCTGGGTATTCGGACACAAGGCTCATGTTGGCGTTCCAGGATGCTCGCCGGCACATCGAAGCACCTGCCTGCGCCGCGCGGCCGACAGCTCGTCTCCACACTGAAGACTGAAGATGCAGATAGATGCAGAACCACAGCACAGAGTACATGAAGGGCAAGGTACACGTGACCGCCTGCTTGATAGCGCATCTGCGAGAAATGCATGCTCTGAAAGTCGACGAGAGGGACGAAGGCAATCAACCAGCCTCGGTAGAGCAGAATCCACTAGTCCACCAAAGAAGGGTTGGCACCCTTGCCGTCGTTCGGCCGCCGATTTCCCATCATTCGGCCTTCCGGTGTCGACGGCATTCTCGGTGAGGTTCAAGTGGGAACAGCTCGACAGGACGATCATGTATAGGATGTACCAAGGCTATAATCCAAAGCGAGCACAACCATCATCGCGACGTTGCCGCATGCGAAGATGCTGAAAGATACCGCCATGTACGATTCCGAACTCCAAAACTGTCACGACAGAGAGCGCCAAGCCTGTCACGACAGACAGCGTATCGCAAACTTTCGGTCACGGTGTCGTCGAGTCCATTCCCCGCAAGGCCATACAAGGGAGTTCTGGAGGCTTCGCCATCTGCGCTAGTGCAGTGCTCGGCCCTTTGCCCCAGGCGACACCCACTGGCACGGGTCAGGTTGCCACCTTGGCGGGTGAAAACTCCATTTGGGAGCTGCGAGACTTCTTTGCTGGAGTCGTCGCCGGGCAGCGTGGTAGCTGTCGTCGTCGGCTGCTTCCAGGAATCACGGCTGCATCCTTGGAGGGCGTCTTGCATCCAGCACTGTGGCTAGTGTCGAGTCAGCTCAGCTAAGTGTGTCGCTGACTGTCGCTGAAGCCCTTGGGTTGGGAGGTCCAGCGAAACCGGATTCCAGTCCTCCTCCATGGCAGGAAGACTCTGCGTCCTGCCAGTTCCTCTTGGAGCTTGAGACAAATACAGCGGAAAAAGACATCGGGACAGGCTCCAATTCTTCAAGAGGCTTTTTGGGAGGATCCTCAGCTTCAGCGACACTGGTGCTGGGCTCGAAACAGCAGGTGGACGGGGAGGTTCACATTCTCGGCCCTGGAACATGGAGACCATGAGCGATTCAACGCTGCCATGATATGGTACTGAGTCGGCCTGAACGTGGGAGTCAGGCTTTTTGGCGACATGGCCGCAACCTTCAATAGATCTCTCTTGAGGCTCATGCATCCACCAGAGGGTGACAATATCTGAATCTCAGGACTGAGACGACTGAGAATGCTGCTAGCCACTCGAAGCCCAAGCAGGTTCCCCAGACAGGAAACGTCTGACCAGCCTGCAAACAAAGCACCAGCTGACCAGCTCTGCTGGGTTTAGAGAAGCCAAGAGCACTTCTGCCTCGAACATCCGTCTGGAGTGCTCAAGCACACGAAGCGCTGCTGGAGGAGGATCCAGGTCCTGCCCTCAGCACAAGAGACCCCTGCTTGCGATTGTTGGGAAGGTGCTCTCCGGACCTCCTGTGAACAAAAAACCGTTCAGAGAGCGCAAGAGCTCAGCCATCTGCACAGATGCAATGAGATGAGATGCAACCCAGGACTGTAGGCACGTTGCCAAAACTTCTCAGCGCCTCTGTGTCGCTTGTGGTGGACCTCACTGGCCTCGCACGGTCGCATGCCGTCGAAATGCTCAGCACTGCCAGGATCACGTTCACGTCACTCCAGGTGCCGCACACAACCTCCCCACCAGCCGACTCGATGAACCGCACATAAGATGCTGGCAAAGCCTTTGATGCTAGAGCTGCAACGTGTCCAGTCATCATTCTTGCCGGCACCTCGCAAGAGGAAGACGAGCCGCAAGATTGCCTGACAGGGACATTCAGACATCGCAGGCTCCATCAGGATCCCTCCCAAGCAATGGCCAAGAGCTGGGGATAGCTGGGGATAGCTGGGGAGGCTGCGGATCTGCTGGTAGCGAGAACATGCCGATGATGGGGCTGCCCTGGCACAGGCTGCGTTCCACGGAAATTCTCTGTATCCAGAATTCCTGACGGCCTGGCTAAACACCGTGCAGTCCGCGGCACGGGAAATGCGTTTAACATGCTTGACTCTGCTTGTAATTGCTTTCTCCAGCATGCTCACCGCAACGTCTGGTCTTCAAAGCTCGTGAACCCGCCTTTGAACTGATGATACATTTGAACAGACACACTCGAACCTCCACTGGTTTGAGCAATGGCATCTTGTTCTCAGAAGCGTGAACTCCCCAAGGCCTAAGTCGCAAATCATCCAAAGTCTTCCAAAACCTCGGAGCCTCATCGATGTGTGAAGCGAATCCAATGGCACAGAGAGCCAAATGAGCACACCATCGAGGCCTGAGATTGGCATGTAACAGCAGTTCTCATCTGGTTTGTCGTGCTATCTGACACCAGACCTCGGCAGAGACATCATGCTGTGCAGGCTTCTGTGCTTCGGCTTGTGTTGACTTTTCAAGAGCTTGTAAGTCGCTTGTCATTACAACTCGCTCGTGTGCAGTATTGCTGCATCTGTTGTCTCGTGTCGTGTTCGGAGAATCTTGCAGAATCGTCCGTGGCAAGCTGAAGGAACACGGCGACAGCCGCATAAAAGTACGAGCACATCGCAAGATGTGCAAGCCTGCCGATTGAAGCTCGAGTCTCCAAGAAAAGCACTGGCGCCTGAAGGGAAGACTACCGGTCCTCAGCCATGTACGCGAGATCACGCGAGGCTCTGCGGCGGTGCGCTCGAATCCTCCGCCGGGAACTGAGTCCGAAACGATGCCACTGTCGAGTCTCCAAGGAATTCTTGGCCTGAGCTTGGAAAGTTGGCAGCAGCAATGCTCTATGCAGCGATCAGCTCGTCGCCTGAACACGGCCCGTGGAACCCGCTCGGCCGGAGGTGGACGCCGTCGTTCCCGGTGTGCTGGAACCACTCTGGGAAGGCGCTGCGGCCGGTGGCGCCTGCAACTTCGGCTCGTCGACTCCATCTGTTTCAATGCGTAAGTCAGTACCTGACGCCCGCTGACAGGAGCTGGCGCCTGGCCGGGAGAGCATATGCAGATTGGCAGTCTCAGAAAAAGCAAGCTCCGTTGAGCCGGGTCGACAACTCTCACCGGGTGCGGTGCGGGTCTTCCTCTTTGAAGGAGTGCGTGATGGTACGTGTATGGCGTGATGACAAAACATGCTTCATAAACTGCCGGCCTGATGCTGAGGTAGTCATCCTTGGAAAATACCGATGACATGCTCGTGCTCGCAGGTAATTACACTAGCACGGCAGCTTAGGGTCGCACAACGGATGCATGGCAACGTTTGCATCCTTACCTGCCATGCGAGCAATAGCTACCAGGCGTGACCCGGACCCCTTGCCAGACTTGGTTTCGCGGACCCACACTTGTTGGAAAGCAGGGCGCAATTTGCCTGCGGACGAGTCGCAGGCAAACAGATCTGGCAACCTCCCAGCCGAGGGCTGCGCACAGGATTCATCACGCATTGGATTGCGATTGGGCTGTCCGCCCGAGTGAAGAAGCAGTCTTGTGCAAATGAAGCGATATTTCACAGGTGTGCGGTTAGCTAGTGAGCTAGTCAAGCTGGCACTCTTTTGACAGTGCTACACAGCGAAGGACTCGTACGGAAGCTAACATAGCCTTCGCTGAGGAGGGATGGGGAGACGTGAGCCAGAAGCACTGCGCAGCTTTGTGCATCTTCGTGCGTTCGTTCACTGGCCTCATGCTTGCATGCAAGGCCAGATCTGAACCGCTCGTCTGCAAGCCACTTTTTGAATCACAAACCGCTTGTGAGTATCTCTCAGGATGAGACCTTCTCCTGCATCTTGGAACATCTTCATGGCTTCATCATGCTTCATCAGTCTTCACGCGCCCTCCCAGCCTCGCGAGCGACACGCAAGGAGCTCTCCTCCGCAATCGGAATCCTCTAAACTCTAAGCTACTACTGGTAGTAGCTGCTAACTTTAACTCTTCAAAGCGGAGCCTTCTCTCAACGCCGGTCGCGAGTCGGAGCCTCCAGCACCATGTAAGGGCTAAGAAAACGGGGGAATCTGCGTGTGGTACTAAGCCTCAGGTCCTACAATTGTTCCCATCATGCGTGCTGCTGCATCTGCATGCAATAAGCTGCACTCTCGAAGTCAAGGTCCCGTTCATGGGGCTTTAGGACGCCGCCCCAAAGCTAACACGACCTCCGTCTTGAAATTTGCCGGGATGAGGCTCCAATGGTGAGAGCCATCTGAATCTATGTGGGGCCTTGTCAAGCTCCACGACTCCACCTTCAATCAGAAAAAACCAAACGACGGACTCCTCGAAAAGTCATCCTGTGGCCCAACTCGAAGTCGATGCCACTCAAATCATTTCCAAATAGTATCTGGGAACATGCCCTAACAAGCATCATAATCCGCAAAAGTGAATAAGGCATCACGCATCCGGTCACTGTCCCAGTTCCTTGCATCCAACTGGAGCGCGGCTTCGTCCGTGCCCCAATGAACTACGCCGTGGGACACTGAATTAATGGTCCCACGGTGTCACAAACTGCTCACCGCTCGCCCAGTCCAAAAGTCGCAACCTCGTCAGCTTGTAAGTGCCCTCGATTCGATGCCCTAGAGAGCACGGACAGCTCCTGGCTTTGCTGATGAAATCCAAGTGCGAAATCCTCCTTCAATCCCGAAAACGAGATTCCACGATGACTCGGCTACTGAGCTTGTATGAGCTCGTCCTGGTGCGGCCGTGCGTACTGCAGCTTCACCAGCTGTGTGAATACGCATACAGTAGCTACAAGCGGGCAGTAAAGCTTGAACGTGAACTCCCAAAAGCTGCAGCTGCTTGTTTTTTTGGCAAACGGTGTTAAACTCAAAGTTGTCATGCTAAAGCAAGCTACGACAGCACATGCATAAAATGTGGTTACATGATAGCATACAAAGGATGCAGTCCGCATCATGTCAGAATGTGATGCTCAGACTGCGCATCCCAACGGGTCCTCTTGGACTGAGAAGCAAAAAGATATAAATAAAAAGACACGCTTAGGACTGCTTCACATTTGTCTCCTGCCTGAGCTTCAATGTAAGCGCGAAGTAGCAGATGCCATTCCGCCATTGACCTGCTGACTCAACGCAATGCACCTGTCTGTCTAAGGGCAAGGTATGCGAGTCCACGCACAAACACCCAGCCACATCGGCGGATCTGATGTCTACGGACACGCATGCCCTTTACATGATGCTTGGAGAAACCACAAATCATACAGTCATACCGCGATGCTCCGTCGTGTGCAGGAATAGCTTCCAAGATCAATCGTTGAGGGCAACTGATGCATCGCAAGTTGCTGAGAATCTTCCTTCTGTGGACAGAAATTCAAGAGCATACCGCCAATCCTCGTCAATACTGATCAATATTGGGTGTTTGAGAATATTCGTTCGTCTGAAGCCCAATCCTGACCAAGTGTACCAACAAGACATATTGACAACCTTCATAACATAGAAATGCTGATAAAATACATCAGGTCTGGTCTGCAGGAGATGGCGTTTCAACACATGTGACACATTGACGGCACATAGAGCAAGAGATCCTGGATCGGCTGCCAACATACGCAGTGCCTGTCAAACATGCCTATGCATATGCCTAGTTCGTGGAAGGAACTCGATCTTGCTGTTAAAACGCCGCCGGCAGCGAAACGAGGATGCGCAGGAAAGGAATGCTCAGTTCGTCGTTGGCTTCGGCCAATTGCCCACACCAACGTCCAAAAATTGCTGCCACTCTCCCCAGTACTGGTCGCAACCACTGTGGGGCTAATATCTGTATGGCTCCACCTCTGATCCAGTTCGGCCACAGCGTATTCAGCTTCGCGCCGGGTCGCATATTCAACCTAAGAGTGCACCACTCTCTGAGTTTATCTCTGGCAAGTACGAGGTCCTGCAAAGCTGATGAACTCCGAAAAGTAGAGAGCCGGGATCGCCACCCAACCGCGCTTTGGCTTATCTGCTTCTCCGAAAACTCTCAAGGCCAACACCTGTCAAGACAAGCCGTCCTCTAGACTCTGCAGCACGCCACGAGCGACCTTCCCGTACGTAGATGCAGTGTCCTGGCAAAACTCGGGATGAACAGCTCTACAAAGGTTAGCAACATGTCGGTCCTTCAGCTCTGCCTCCTCCATGTCAAAAGGCAGATTCGAGATACTTACTCGAATGTTGGCTGAGCCGCGTTCCTCCGGGGGCAGAGACCGGAAACTGCCCGACTCTGACTCTTCTCTGCTCGCTCTGCTCGCTCTGCTCTGAGCACCGGACGGCTGGAGCTCTTCGAGGTGAGCGTGAAGCTCTTCCTTGTCGACCGTCGTCGGCTCTGGGTGGACCTTGAGAGCAACAGCTCCCACCGGTGCTGTGCTTCACAGCAACGATGCACATTCAGGCAGACTCCCGCCGGTCTGTATGTTCCACGTCGCTCCGGAGCTGGATCTCTGTCCTCGGACTAAGTGGCGGACAGAATGCGCAAACGTGGAAAGATTCAGATGAGACTGAGACATGGACATGCCGTGGACCGACATCTCGAGTGTCCCGCGCTCCAACCCCCCTTGGGGGATCTTCTCGCAACCCTGCAGATGTCTGTAGATTCTGCAACATTCGATGGAGCTTCTACAGTCCGGAACGTCAAGCAAGCAGGCACAGCCGCAAGACTTTCAGCTAGCACAGGCTTCCAGTGCCAATTTCCCTTGGCAAAGCGCCGAGTCGAAACGCGCATTCGCTCCCCGGCGGGCGGGCGGGCGGGCGGGTGCGTTTCCTCGCATTTCTGAGGGAGTTGTCCAACCTAGATCACCCAACACGCGTGCGGAACAGAGAGCTACGTGTAGCACCCTCATATTACGAACTTTGACTCGCGAGTCCAGCTGTGTCTGGCATTGTCTGGCCAGGGCCCCAACTACGTGAAGCATTACCCGCGCTCTGCAAGCCTGAAACGCCACATCATGCCACATCTCTAGGTACCTTCTCTCGCCGTCTAGCCGAATAGCCTTGAAGATCTTGAACCCTCAAACCTCATGCACCCTGAGACAAACGAAGAAGCCGAAACGCTGCGCCCTCGAAAGAACAAATCCCCCAAAACCCATGAACCACACACAGCCCGACACATAGTGCAAGCCCAAACATCCTGTACCGTTAACCAAACATATCCGCTCAGGCGAAGCAAAGCACGAACAGAAAGCTCGAGAAAGCGCTGGTTTTCAAACTAGACATCGGAATTTTCTTACAGCATAAACAGCCCAAAGGCTCAGAAATGAAAAGCAAAAAAAAAGTCCGGCTTGAGCAGTGGGCTCTTTCTGTGCTTAAAAGATGTATGTCTCTCTGTCAGTCAGCTGTGCGATTGCTGAACAGCTTGAGCCTCGGTCATCTCTCCGACCAGCAACATCTGCACGGTCAAACTGCCGACCTCAAGTCAAGCACACGCTGCTACATCCTTCAGTAATGCTTCACTGCTCGCCGGCTCGCGCAAATGCGGATACCTCGAAGCAGCACAAGGCCTCGTCGACCGTCCCTACTGTCGCCACGGGCTCCTGCGGGCAGCTCCCCAGCGGCGTGGGGCCGACTCGAGATATCATGGTGAACGTCAAACCACTGAGATGCTTGGTTCATTGCTTCCTACTTCGGTGGTTCACTTCTCAACTCTCTGCCTGTATGCTTCCGAACTTCCGGACAATGTTTGCAAGAGCTCCAAACTCTCTCAAACTCAAACCAACAGCTGTGGATAAAAGGAGTTCTTGCTGACGCCGAGCCACGCTCGGGTCTGCGATCGTCGCGGCCTCGCTGCGGTGGCGGCGCCCTGATACGACTCAGAGACCGCAAAAGATCTGCAAGGCAACGCAGGCATACGCAAGCGCTCTCCGCTCTCGTGTCTCCATGCCTGTCCGGTCTATCTCGGTCATCTCGCCGCGGTGCATCCTTTGCAAGATCTGAGTGTGCTTTGCTGCTTCTGCCGGTTGCTGCAAGACCCGACTATGCCTCGTAGCCACGCCGTCGATCATAGTCGTCACGCCGATCGTAGCCTCGCCCACCGTCGCTGATGCTGCGGTCCTACATAGCTCTTTCAACAGCGTGTGAACTTTCTTGCATGAATCAGCGCTGGCTTGCCGGGCGGGCATGCCAATACAATGTGTCACAGCAAGTTAAGTGGACAAGTCGGAAGGCAGCACTCTTGTCCTCGTACGCATATCCTGAGCCACGGCCCTTTCCCTCATCTTTGCCTTACGAGACAAGCGAGTGGAGATGAGCCGACGGCCGTGAACTGAAGGTTTCAGCAAACCAAGCTATCCATCAAGCGAGAAGCCACCATCATAGTAGTCTGCAGGTCTGTAGCTACCTCGATCGCGATCGTCGTATCTGCCGCGATCGTCTCTATCCCGCTCTCCTCGACCGGTGTATGTGTCTTCCCGGCGACGATCAGGGGCATCGCCTTATTTGAGGAAACCACACACGCACTCACACACACAGACACACACACACACACATACGCACACGCACACACACACACAGCACGATGTGAACGCGAGGTCTCAAGTCAATTGAGTCAGCTGTGGAATCAAGATGCACTCGGTGATCATCACTGATCTATCAAGCAAGTCAGCCATGCAATCTCTCATTCTAGGGTTACCTGAAAGACAAACTTGTGTCCAAAAGCAGCGGTGAACATGAGACGAACATTTTGGTACCAAGTACGACGAATGGCATACAAGTTGGATGAGATGAGCGATGGGGTAAGGCTGCTGCCCACTACATCAGACACTCGGAATGATGGAGCATGAGGTGAGATGAAAGTCCCAATGAGGATCAAGGTCCCGCTAGCTGCCCATGAAGGGGCCAGGTGCAGACCAAAGCAGGTCCGCTTTGACCCCCTGAGGGTGTCTTCGTTGACAGGAGACCCCCAGGACGAGCTCCTGTCCTCTGCTAAACGAATGCAAACATCGCTTCTCTGCTCGCAAGCTTCGACGCTCGGTCACGACTTCCCAGGCGGCATCACGGCACACCCAGATACAGAAACCGATCACGCAGACCTTCGGCAATATATAGCTTTCCTGGCTGAAGATGACCGAAAAACCCTAAGCACAGATCTCATCGTGATCCTCATCGTCCCAAGGAGGTGAGTGAGTGTGTGTGTGTGTGTGTGTGTGTGTGTGTGTGTTGGGGGGGGAACCCAAACCGGAGCAGGAGTCCAACATATCAGGACAACCATGCAGCGCAGTTTCGAAAAAGATACAGGGGGTGCAGGAGAACAAGAGCGCTGGCACCAACGAAGACCGCTTTTGATTCTCGCGATGTGTTCGTGGACGCACTGACCTGGACATGCCAATCAGCTTGTGACGTGGAATCGCATAAGCCGTGCATGGTGCCATCATTTGACATCATCGCCGTGCTAATCTTTTCTTTCATTCGCTGGCCATGACGAAGCAATGAGAGGCGGTCATGCGTGGCTTATTAGTTAATCATTGTCAATCTGCAGCAAGGTAACCGAGCCAATTGAGGGGCCTACACGCAAAGAGACATACACACACCTACACGTAAAGAGACACACACACAGACACAGACACCCGCGTGTGCATTTGGGTGGGTCGCACGAACACGCTGCAACACTCGTTTCTGGGCAATTGGCGACGGTCGCTCGAAGGCCAGTCCCTGTCGCGCCCGCCCTTGTCCCTGCCCTTTCCATCCCGGCGCTCTCCATCGTCAGCACCTGCAGTCACCGCAGCTCCACTTCGTCTACTCTGTATGCCAATCTGAAACTGGCAGAGGCTTCAACGGGAGCCACGTCTATCATCATCTCGTCGTGCCTGACAACAGAAGGGACACAGAGCAAACTCTTCGCACCGAGACTCAAAATCGGCATGCACCTCCTCCCACCGATCAGACCGTTCAGACCGATCAGATGCCCGTGGCTTGTCCTGAAAGGCTCCGATGGTGAGGACGGAAGATCCACAATGACCGACCACAGTCGGTGCTGCGGGATCTTCTGGATGTGATTCTATTCAGGAATGTGCATCTTCTCCCTTGCTTGAGCCAAGCCGCACCCTTGCCACCCTCGCGTCGAGTAGCCGGAGCTGCCTCCAAAGAGGGCAACAGTTCAAAGATGCGTATAGCGCAGCCACGCAGCGGCTTCAGACTTGCGAGGCCTTGATGATGCCAGATCCGAAGGACTTGCTTTGATCAAGTCCCTGTATGGCATCCTGCTTACAGCAGACATCACACACCCGCGCTGAAGCTAAGATCCCACGGTGCACCTGTGCATGCTCTAGGCGGGCGTAGGTAACGAACACGAAGGTGTCCCTGTCCGAATGCTTGATGTTGATGTCCGAGACAGTACCATACCTGGATCGGGCTGTGCATTCTGCAGCACCGCGAAGCAGGATTCGAAGGAAAAAGTTGTGCCTGCAGCAGACAGAGTCCACCTCGCTCTCACTGATGTCTCGAGGAAGTCCACCAAGCCAAATGCCTCAGAGCAAAATGCCATCACTGCCATGAACCCAGAGTCGTCTCTTGGCGCAAACTAAACCCGAGCTTCAGACACGGCTTGGTTAGCTCGGTGGGCCTAAAGGATCTTCTCACTTCTCCACACTCTACCGACTTGCCCTGAGAAGGAGACGCACCACCAGATCCGCCTTTCCCCTTGTTTCGTCCGTAGCCTGGATATTGTCAGTCATTGTCAGTCACCAGTCTCAAACCAATTGTTCGGCCTGAGTCATCGCCTTAGAGAGCCAGAGCTGAAGAAGAACTCTGCGATGCTGCGGTCTGCCGCTGAGGATTTGGCCCCATCTGTTGCCGCCCATGGGATCGCCGGCGCATCTGCCTCGGCGCAGCGCTGCTGCAGCTGTGGCTGCGCTCTGCTGCGCTGCTCCCCATCCGACAGACAAAGAGCGCCCAGCCACGTCGCGCCGCGTCTCTGAGGCAGCGGCCCCGGAGTTTCGCTCGCAGCCAGCTGCGGAGCGGCGAAGTTCAGACACCCGGCCGAGCCCAAGAGCCCGAAAAGACAAGCGCCATGCGGACATATGCGGACATGCGAAGAGACACAGCCGGGCGCTGAGCTAAGGTGAGCGAAAGGCGACATCGCAACGACGCAACCCCTCCAACTTTGTGCAAGCTCTTCGACGCTACTTGGCTCGTGGTCGAACTTCGGCCAGCTGGCAGAGCCAAGAAAACTTAGCTCGGCAAAGGCGCGCGCTGTACAACTCTTCGCGCTGAGCGCAACCCAGCTTGCTTCGCCGTCGCCTCGGTCGCCTCACGCTTGCGAAATCTCAACGCTTTCGTCGAGCTCGCCGACCCTGGCAACGTGAGGTCTTCCGAAGATTGAATGATTGAACTTGCCCTTGCTTGGGCCTTGGGTGGTGAGGGCATGTCACCGAATCCCCCCAGCATGCCCTGTGCGAAGCGGCACACAGCATATTGCACATTTGCAACTATACTCGAACGAGCCTCCATCGCAGCCCCGAAAATCATCGCTTCAAAGTCGTCTGACGAACGACCATATCCTAGTCTGGAGCAAGTTGGTGATCCTGATGTTGTGAGATGAGTCTGTCCTGAAGAAGATGTGCCGTGGGCTCCGTAGCCATTTCGAAGCTCAGACCGAACTTCATCTGCGACAGCCTGAAACAGTTGCCAGCTGCGTTCGGCGGCGACTCGTGCGAGATCAAAACCGGCACCAAAACAATACAAGACAAAGGCAACGTAGTCGCCCATCACTGCCCAACCGGAGCTCGGAGCACCAGCCCAAAGAGATGAACGCGCTCTCAAAGGATGTGGCCACGTGAGCCTCAAGCTCTGCCGCGTGAGCCTCTGCGAGGTGAGCTGCGGCCTTGCTCCGGGGCATTCGGCTGCAGTGCATGGCACAGTGCAATGCTGTCCCACCTCCGCCTGTGAATCCAGGAGGAGTCTGCAGAGAGCGCAACGAAACCCAAGCCTGCCACCCTGAGGCACGGCGCACCAAAAGCAAGTCACAGCTTCACAGAAAGGTGCACGGGCACTAGTCTGGCCTGCCGTTCGGGATGCAGATTGGCTTCACAAAAGGCTTCGAAGACCTCGGCGTCGGTGTCGTCCTGATCCGTGGTCGTGTCTTGTGACTTTCCCTCACACGAACTCGCAACAGATTGAGAACTCACACAATTTCGCCTCTTCCTCCTCCGCCATTGCACTGCTTTCTGCTTTCTTGTGGCACCTCTCAGGCCATGCTCAAATTCCCCGACGTTTGTAAGGTCGGCCTCTGACATGAGGCGATGACGCAACGCACATGCTGAAGTCGCACTTGCGGCAGTCAAAGAAGCGCTTTCCGTCGGGAATGTCCTTGCTGCACACGTCACATTCGTAGCCTGCACACAAAGACGAGTGACGAGTGCAAGGTTAACGAAGCAATTAGAGTGCTAGCCTCCGTCTGCCTTTTTCCTTTTGAGCGTATGCCTGCGAAGGAGCACGTGCCGTGAGCGAAATCGGGCAGGCGCTGAAGCTCCCGCCCTGATGGACAAGTCACTTCGCAGGATGGCATACCTGGAGAGAGGCGACAACCCGCTGTAAAAATGGCACGTCTAAGCACCGGTGCCTGACATAGCCGCCAGGAAGGCCTGCAACCCATCCATGATAGTCTCTGATACTCGGGCTGTGATGTCCATCCAGCCAGCCCCAGCCCGTAAAATGTAAAATCTTCGGGCACCAGAATCGTGAAAAATCAGGATGTAAGAATGAAGCAAAATAAAATCTTAACGAGACTGATCTCAGACACGCCTCCTCCATCCACATGCCAGCAGCTTTTTTTCGGCCGCGGCCCTTGCAGAAGCCAAAGTGGAGAGGCCGGACAAGCAAATAAAACAGCTTTTGTGCACGGCACCTTGCGCCGCGGCCTGGAGCTGTGGGCCTACAGTGGTCTGCGTTGCCGCAGCTGCGCAGCTCAATCTCAACAGCTCAAGCTCCAGAAGCTCCTTGAAGCTGAAGGCACCAGTCATCCTCAGGAGCTCGTCCAACAGAACCTGCAGAACGGTGCAGGACCTGCGAGCCTAGATTTGCACTGGGTAAGTACCGTCGGCCGATGTGCACGCGTCCTGTTCGTTAGTCTGTGATATGTGCGCACAAATCTTTGCAGCATGTACGGCTGTCAAGCCGTGCTGCAAATGCTCTGGGTGCACATGTTGGTGGTGAGCCTGCAATTTCTGAGAACCGGCCTTCACTCACAACGAGTTCAAGTGCCGAAACGAGTGGGGTGGAAATGCTCCTGTTCCAGCAGAAGCAGATGTTGATGAGCTGCAAGGGCAGGTGAAGTTCTGACAATCCCGTGCAGAGGCTATTGAAAAAAGCCACGAGTGAAGCCCTGCAGCAGATCAATTTGCAACTTTCCAAGGGCTGGTGTGCAGAGAGCAGAGACTGATTTTCTGTGACGAATGGGGCAGCTCAAGCCTTGCGCCGATGCGGTGGTGCAGAACTTCGCTTCGTTAGGCGCTCGTCCGAAAGTTAGTTCGGTGGCTTTCTGCTGCTTTTGTTGAGATCTCGGCTCTATTAGGCTCCGTTAGTCTCGCCTCTGACTTCGGCTATCACTTCAACAGACCAACTTCTGCAGCAGCTGGATTCTGTCGTCGAGTCCACACCAGATGTGGTATTCGCTGCGTTGGATGTGGTGAACCCTTTTCGTTCAATCAGTCGCCCAAACATGCATTCCTCAGTTTCTGACACAGTACGCTACGCCACGCTTGCGCAAGTTCACCATTCGAGCGCCGGAGATCGTCCCCATGATTCATGTGAATTGTCTGTTGTCCAAAAAGAGTCTGGAATAGAGTCTCTAGAGAGTCTAGTAGAGGAGGTCCTTGCAGCAGTCCCCGCTTGCGATGACTCCGACGGAAACTCCTTCGGCTTTGCTTTGCTTTGCTTCGCACCTCGGAGGCCTGGAAACTCCTTCTGACACGGAAGAAGGATCTGCTGGGGGGGGGGAGCTCCTGGCTCTCCAGATTTTCGACATGTTGGCAGCTCTTGGACTGTTGGCGCAGCAACCTTTTACGATTTAGATGCCGGCGCCAATCTGGAAGTTGTTCGTTGTTGCAGGAGGGACTGCATGTTTTTTTGTTACCCCATGTTACCCCTTTAAACGCTCATCCTACGTGCACACGTCCTGTTCATGGGTTTGTCAAGCCCTGGAGGGACGAAAGCTTGGCACCTGCCATACATCTGCACTCGGCTTGAGCGACCTGTTAAGACTATAGACTCGAAAGGTCTTGGCCGGTCCTGGCCTGCTCCTCCGCATCCATATCCTGACGTTGACCATAAAATGAAAATCGGGTCATGGAGTCAGCACCACCAATCCGAACAGAGTCTTTGCTACCAAGACCGAGAGACATGGTGGGTCGGTGCGTCGCTGCACAACAGCAGTTTTACACCAATGAACTCCCACATGATTCCTAGCCCAAGCCCTTTCCTGCGTTTGCCTGTGCTTTTGCAAGATTTCCGATGAACGCAATCTCCTGAACGCCAAGCAGGAGCCAGGAGCCGTTCCAGAATTCTGGGCGTCCCATCAGCGTGGTCCGCTTCCCATGCTTTCGTTGTTTAGCAGCATTGTCTCTATAGGTGATTAGATAAGAAACGAGTGCAGAGACAAGCCCGCATGCCAAGGCAACACAAGGGAAGGCAGCCGTTGCACAGCCCCGAACCCTGAAGAGGTATCCAGTCGCTGCGTGGCGACGGCCGTCAGGTGGACATAGGCCACATCTAACTTTGTAAGTAAGCCTGAGCCGATCATGGTTGAAGCTTGATACCTTTGATCGGTTGTCAAGGACGTCTGCGTCAACGTCTCCCCTTCCCCTTCCCCGGAAGGCCAGAAAGGGAAGCTGATGGCACTGCGGCGAAAGCTTTAACTATGGATGAAGCTGCAACCAGACAAGACGGTGGCAGTGTTTCCTGCGCCATTCCACCCCCGAAGAACATGTTGAACAAGTTCGCGGCATGCAGCAGACCTTGGCTGATGTGGCAAAGTTCAGAAGTCTGCTACTTCAACTCAAACCATAGCAACTGTGGAGTGGACCCTCATCATCATCTAACTCCTCCGCTTTGGCTTGCTCTCGGTGTCAACGAAACAGATGCACGTAAGGCAATGATGTCCTCGCTGTCAACACAGCCTTTGGTGTCGTACATGGTGCGACGCTCGGAATCTGACAGCACCTGCTTGAAGGACATTGTGCGAGGTAAGACTGGCATCAGACAAGCTCCTCGTAGGCGCTCGCGATCTTCTGGAACCTGAAACTTAGTCTCTGGTTGGCGAAAAATCTGCATGCACGCGGTCAGCTTGGATGCAAGCTCGGCAGTGGCATCTTGACTCGCATTCTTGTCCTGCATGGTGGCCCATGTCAGCCAGAGACATCCCGGCTGTCCTGCTGCGTACACCTTGAGGCACCGGCTGGATGGTATTTCAAGGCAAGCCGCCTGTATGCCTTCCTCGCACAGCTTGAGAGGCACGGTTCTTCTGGACACAACGTCTTCAAACATACAGCCTGATTTCGGCTTCGCTGGCGCTGGATTCCAATCCCAGTGTTTGGTACAGTCCCTTCGGGTCCTGGCATTCCCTACTGTGGGTTGCCAGATTCCCAGTTGAAAATGGCGATGCATTCGATAGTCCTTGCTGCCCATCGGCGGCATGCTGAAAGCTGGGCCACTACTGCTTAAGTCTTAAACTGTGCATCCACGGCACTTCTCAGGCATGGACGTGATCTTTGAAGAAACTGTAGGATGAGTAAGGGTCAGGAAGATACTCTACAGAGACGGCTACATCTCTTCATCACGTGTATCACCTGGCTGAGATGCGTCGTTACGTAGTTTCAAGCTGTGCGACAGCGGAGCACGGAGTAGCCACTTTGATTGAGCTTCAGATTTGGGATGATAGCAGCTGTTGGCTGTTGGCCTTGTGGCGTATGACGAATGTCGCCAGGTTCTACCGCGGTCCCGTCGAGATGAGTCCACTTGATTTTTCCTTGCGCGGCATTTTGTTCCCTGCGCATGGTAGAGATCTCTCTCCTAGTCCATCAGCCTCAATCAATGCAGCTCTGGCACTCTTTACGGAAAACCTGTCTGCTCCGGAGTGCTGTCACAAGCTGGAAAAGTTTCAACCAGTGTTGACAAGACTTTACTAGGACCAAGTAAATCAAGGCCCAAGGCCAAACCGCTTCTCATGGAACTGTCACCATCTTCATCAAATTCGAAGCTCCAGGGCACTCTTCCTCCCAGAGGGAATTGTTGACAGCCACAGCAGCAGAAATCCAAATGCAATGCCCTTCATACGTCCTTTTGGCCATGTACAGCCACAATGATGTCACCAGACTTCACCTAACGAGGCAAAAACTCTGCAGTGGAGATCACTCGGAACACTCCTTCTCTAAGGGCCAGTGCCAAACGACACGTCTTGAAGCCTAAGTCCGCTACCATGTTGTGCTCCTTTGCACGTGTCAATGCTTTGGCTATGACGGAGTCAGTGCCCTGAGTCGCAAGGCACAAATACCGATGCTAGATTCTGCCCAAGGCAGACACGACTTCCCAACCTGGAAGGACGCGGTGAGGATAGGAATGACGCCGCGAATGGCAAGCAGCTGCCGCAGGTTGGTCTCGCTAGCTGTGATGCACAGGATGGGCGACTCGGGACCTCAGCTCCGGGTATCTTTATCATCGGGCATCGTTTACCAGCAACAACTAATTAGGATTAAGTATGCTCCGGGTCCACTGAGGTTGTGGCGGTACTTAGCAATCAGCCTTGCCGTTGTTCCAGTCTCACTGAGGGCAATGATCAGTGGGCATTTGGAGTCGACGCATGCCTTGACTGCAGAGGAGCAGACAGACTCCACTGCAGACATGCCCATATTCTGCTTCAGGACAAGCTGTCTCATGTTGAGGTAGAGGGACTTGTAGTCCAGCGTCGACTCTGCCTGTTCGCAGATTCTTCGCATGGTCGCAACAGCTGCTTCAGGGAACTTGCCGTTGGCCGTCTCGCCGGAAAGCATCACGACATCTGTTCCGTCCAGGACTGCATTGAGAACATCGGTCGCTTCCGCACGTGTTGGGCGAGGGGCACGCTCCATGGAGTCCAGCATCTGTGTAGCTGTGACAACAAATTTGCCAGCAGCATTACACCTGAAAGAGACAAGGGGCTTCCAACCAAAACCAACAAAAGTAGCACAGGTAGCGACTGGACTCGGCATCTCAGGACCTGGCTTCATGATGATCATCTTCTGTACGAGGCCAACCTAAATCACGGAAAACTAAATGCATGGCAGAGCATCATGAACATGATGTACAAGTCCATCAGCAGATGGTGGCGTCGTCACCCCACCCCCCCATCCTGAATCTGTTGCATTCCTTTGTCACTGCACGACTGCGAACTGCCTTTGTCATCGGCAAAAATTTCCAACCGGCTTACCCCCAAGCTTGCACACCACAATGCGATTTGCGTGTATCGATCATGGTTGTGCATGGTGTTCGCTTGGATCCCAAGGTATTCAAACAAGAACGGTCCAAGTATCTTTTTCCCTGGCAAAGGTGCATACCTTCACTGCGTGCCCATCTAGTGGACGCAACCAAGCAAGCATATTGAAACCGCAGCCATTCTGAAACTGCAAGCTCAGAAACTTTCTCAATATCGATTTCCATGCCCATGTCACCACGAGCCACCATAATTCCATCGCTCGCAGCGATGATCTCATCGATGTTGTTGATGCCTTCCTGATTCCTTGGCAGACACACCAGAAGACATGACATGCTGGCATATGGTCACTGTCCCACTGATTGTGCAGAGTCTTGCAAACAGCTATGACAAGTGGAAACCCAACCGGACTTCCTGCCTGACAAATTCATTGTCGAATCGCTTCTCGGTTTGCTTCGTCTGAGTGCTTTCACTACACTGTCAGCCTCTTGCACCTCTTGTACTCTCAGGCTTGGCTCCGCAGTCTCAAGCTGCTTCATCTAACTATCTGTGTATGTGTATATATATGTATGTATGTATATATATATATATATGTATACAGAACGGGGGACCCTGGGAGTGCGCATCTGCCGCGATTTACGCGCGAGTCTTTCGAAAAAACCAAAAAAACCAAAGAAACCCCAAAAAAAAAAACAAAGAAACCACAAAAAACAAAAAAAACAAAGATCTGACACTCTCCGGCCATGGACACCTCAGTCCAGGAGCCTCTGATAATTGTGTTTTTTGGTTTCTTTGTTTTATTTGTTTTTTTTTGTTTTTTTTGGTTTCTTTTGTTTTTTGGTTTTGTTGGTTTCTTGGTTTCTTGGTTTCTTTGTTTCTTTTTTGTTTTTTTGTTTTTTTGTTTGTTCGAAAGACTCGCGCGTAAATCACGGCAGATGCGCACTCCCAGGGACATAACGTAGCATGGCCAACGTATACGACTAGATAGCAGTGCGAAATACCACACTTGCACATCAGCACTTTTTGTTCTCAGGATGAGGAGAAGCTTTGTGGGTATGCGAGGCGCATCAAAACTACAGCGACGTCACCTTGAGTGCAGACTTCATATCGTACTCTTCACCGTCACCGTCGCAAAAACAGCCGGTGAACAGGCCGCAATCTACGCAGGGACGACAGAGCTGATCGTGCGTGCCGAAAGCGAGCGCTTGTAGGCCCACGTCACGGCGAGGATCCCGCATACCGAAAGTAACAAAAGGGTGGAGAGGGCGGGAAAATTTCGGTATGGCCCGATCGGCTATCGACAGAATGGCCACGGAAAGACATGATCACGTCTGTTCTAACGATCGCGAAACTGATCTCCTAATTCCTACCCACCGGACCGACAATTTGGAGACCAGATGCTACGATCGCAAACGCTCGGTACCCTCGCTGAACAGACGAGGTGGCGGTCCCCCTTTTTATGCGACCGCAACGTGGGAGTCGGCCACAAGTCCGATCATCAAAACTTCACTCGATCTTCACAAGTCCGATCGGACCCCCGATCGCCGAAGGGTGCGCCATGGCATTCACCACGGACCGCAACATCAATCCGATCGGACACAGCAGATGAGCGATATTCCCAGGCCCTCAAACTCCTTTAGGAAAGTCCGAGGGGACGGTGATCCAACCGCTAGCGACATCACTACGAGAGGGGTTATCCGCAGGGTTCGAATCGGTCGGTACCCGATCGATGTAAAGTGAGCACCTAAGCTCCAGAACAAGCTCCCAGAAAATCCCTGCGAGCTCGCACACGTCCTCTTTCGCAGAGTAGCCCTTGATCAAAAGCTGCCTCTACTGGCTCAGAGTCAATAAAGAGGAGAACCAGCTTTCCACGGATCTCTTCCCTGAAAGTCTGGATCGCGGCGACCGCAGCTAAAAGTTCGGTCATGCAGATCTGGGTCTTCCTTGGGAACCACCTCGACATGATCTGTCGAGACACTCCCGAGGCGAATTGCCTAGGAGGGTTATCTTTGGTGAACATGACTCCCCCAATATCCCCCAATCATCTCAGAAGAAGGATCCTTGGGATTCGAACTCGGCGCCGAGCCATCCGCGAAGATCACGACGTCGGACTTCCGCGGCCCCGAGCTGGGGATGGGCCTCGGCGGCCGAGTAGAGGAGAGCAGGCGAAAGGCTCGTACTCGTAGTCTTCCTAGAGTACTGCTGATCGGACAAGGCTCTCAAGAAAGCCCGGCCGATCTTGCCCCAGAGCTGAGAAGCGCCGAACATGAGCTTCCCCCTGAGCTTCCCGGTTTGGCCCGGAGAAAGCTCCTCGTGCTCCAGGATCGCAGAACCGTGCTCCGAGCCACCAGTGTACCTTCTCGGCCAGCGCGAACGCGCTATCCGCCGTGTCTTCCGGCTCAAAGCCATACTTGTCGTCATAGAAGTTGAGCCCATGCCACGATGAACACGCGCCTTAGAATGTCGGTAATCGCAGCCGAGCGGCGATTGTAGTTGTAGACGGCCGAGACCAACCCGAAGGAGTGCCCGACCATCACGAAGAAGGCCACTTTCCCTGTAGAAGGATCCTTCAACGCGACCACACTCCACTTGCGATGAGATAGGGACCTGCCGATAGGCCCGCCGCTCGTCCAGGACCCATCCACGCAGCCGTGATTTTGGCAGCCGCGATCGCAGCCACTTAATCACCGCCACGTTCGCGTCCGTAGAGGGGAGCTCGAGCTTCTCCGTGACGATCGTCGCCATGTGGATGCCGTTCGAGGTAGCACTGTCGACCCCCCGAACTTTATTCTTTTGCACAACTTTTCAAATCTCTGTGGGGGAATCCACCGATCGTCGCCCACAAATTTTGAGACCTCGGCTTCATCAAAGAAAGGACCAACCACGGAGCCCTCCTCAACATCCTCCATGGTCCCTTCCCAGACCTTGGGAGAATGCTCAGTAACCGGAGATCTCCGGATAGCGTTCAGAACCTTCGATCGAAATTCCCAAGCCCTCGATCGAATGGCATCCACCGAGAGGTGTTCAGCATGAGGTTTGCGATCGGCTTTCCACCTGCGAGGAGGCGATATCTCCGACGATCGGCATCCCCGCCATGATCTGATCAACGAGGTCAATGTCGCGGCACCGGGCTGCGTCCATGAGTTCGCGCCAGAGGGCGACGTGAAAGAACTTGCCCAACTCCACCGGTTGATCATCAGTAGTCCCACGGAGGAGGCGGCGCAAATGAGCGTCCGGTATTTGCTGGAGCAGCGTGTCAGAAGGCTGGACCAATGCCCGAGCACGCAGCTCCCAGTGTTGCAAGAGCGAAGCTCGGCGATCGCGCACCTGGGCTGGATCCTTGACGATCTGCTCGAGATCAGGAGTAACGAGCGCAAAGGTCAGAGCCTGCCAGGATTCCTCTGCATGATCACCCGTGGTCACTTTAGCCGGCTGAAAGCCGAGTTGAAGTAGTTGTTCGAACTCGTCGGAGGGCACACGATCGACCCCCTGCACTGAGTAAGCGGCGAGGACCACCCGGGTTCCTTTCCAGGGCAGAGTTGCATGGAGAGCCTCCTGGCATTGAAGAGGATCTTGCCGTCGACGAACGCCGTATCAAACCCGGGGATCGAGCGTCCTCCGATTTCCCGCACGTCAGGCCCGAGCGGGTCCTCGATCCAGAGCCCACCTCCCTCGAACGATCCCAGCTTGAACACGATGTTGGGAACAGGTTCGTTGCCTGAGTCCCGATGCGGTTCGGCTTCTTGATCGTAGAGAACTGCGAACGAGGTGAAAAGGGCCTCCGGAACTTGTTGTGAAATGTACTTGCTGATCAATTTGATTGTCCGGGGCCAGGAGTGACAAGACGATCGCAACCTTGTGATCCCACCATGTCTGTAGGCTCCGGCAAAGAACGCACCGCCCCGTTCGTCAGCGGCTTTATGCTGGCCCTGAACAGAAAGCTCCATCGCCAACTTCAAGAGTTGTGCTGTGCTGAGCGTCGTATGATCATGTGATCAGAAAAATTGCTGTTGGGCTTTTGCTTGCATGAAAATCTTGTAGTAAAGGCCCCGAGTATTTTTTTTGAGAGCCTTTTTCCGTCTGCGGGACAGTCGGAGAGCTCCAGTGGAGCAGGCAACTAACCTCACCCTTGGTTCAGATGTCACCCTGGCGCGAATATTTTTAAGGGGCGGGGTGTCGGATGCTATAGTGCGTGCGAATTCGAGCTTTTCGCAACATTCTGACGAGAGTAACCGATGGCCTGCAATCTGCGCTGCCATCATAGGCTCATTATGGCTCATTGGCCATAGGCATGCCATGCGTCAGTCAAACGACGTTAGCGGGCTTTCATCTCAGAGCTTCCCTAAACGTCGATTCTGTGCACATGCTCGGTATAGGTCTGGCCATGGGGGCCATCTTGGCTCCAGGCACATCGGCAGGGACAATGCCTTCACCGAGGTTCATCGAGCTTCCCGATTTCGGCCAGAAAGGCGGGGGCTTTGATAACGATGCGCACCCATAATTCCCCATGAGCGTGAGGAGGATCTGGTGCCCCAGCGTGCCCAAAAGGCAAAGCAGAGCGGAGCAGTGGAGGGAAATGCGTGCCCCGTGTCCATCAGCTGCTGCAGCTGCCATCTGTGCGAGGCGAAGGCAGCGAAGGCGAAGGGAGCTGGGCGAGAAAACTTTTCAACAGATCTGGAGCGACAGCTGTAAGTCACAGGCAGCCGTCTACGTCACTCCGTGCAACGAACCGCACTAGGTTGCACTACACGGCATGCTAAAGTAGCATTGCCCGAATTGCCTGCATCCCCACATGTCCCCCCCCCACCCCCGCATTTAGGCTCATGCTCGGGGAAGCTTTGCAAGGAATCGTTCCCCAAGCCTAAGCACCCTCACATCCTGCTGCACTGCAAACGGGTGTCTCAATCTTCGAGATGATCTTGACCGAACGCCCGCGCATTCCAAGGGTGTCCCGGATGAGCTTGACATCCCCGGCATCCTTTGTGGCACCGACATCTAGCGGCTAGATTCTAGCCGTGATTTTGAACCATCAGTTCCCACGCAAGTATTTCTGTGCAAGCGCAGTCCTGAACGAAAGAAGCTGCAACAAAGTCGACGCCCTGCGGCACGCCAAACTCAATGAGGTCCTTCTTATCCTTCTCCTGGAAAACAACTGAAAACACGACAGCACGCTGCAAGGATACATCGCTTCTAGCAGCACAACATGAAGACTTTGACCTGGACAAGCTGAAGCGACATTTTACCAACAGGGTAGGCTGGGAACCCACAACTGCACAACTATTCCCAGAATGGCTGAAGACTGCCTGCCGCCTGCCTCTGTTCGACTGACCTCGACCGTCCAATCTGTCTGGGAGACGCAATGACGGGTGAAACCCAGTGATACTCGGTCCTGAAGCACTGGCAGCTCGACCTTCACACCTGGCAGATTCCTCAGAACATTGCAGACACTTCAGATCAAAACTTCAACGGTCGAGAGCGGCAACTGGAAGTCTGCAGCCCCGCAGAGGCAAGTCAAAGGAATACATGCGACCCAAAAAACATGTTCTTCTTCTCGCCAATGGAGATGTCGTTCAGAACCTGCGACACGGCTACCATGCTGCTTCACTGTTTCAAAAAGAGCTTCGAAAGGAGATGGCCTCGGTGACGACATGATCAGAGCCTGTACTCTTCACCTTCAATGACAAAGATCCGTCTGCAGCGAGAATGATCTGCCCCGGCTTGACCTGGGTGAGCACTCATTTGCAAAGAGAGAGGCCTGACAAGCTGAGGTTTGAGATGTGTGCAGTCTAGCTGCTGCCGTTGGCAAGGTCTTGTAGCTGCAGGCGATGCAAGTCTCGTCACCCTTCCAAAACAGCGACTCAAGTCGACAGCGTGAAGAGGAATAGCGAAGAGCACGGAGAAATCGCAATTTGCATCTCGCCTTGAAGTCGTAGTCGTTCACGAGTTTCAGATCTTGTCCAGCTTTCAAGTTAATCTTTCCGCCGGCCAAGCTCTCCTCCAAAAATCGCTCAGGAGCGGCCCTTACTGGTGTGCTCCATATCAAGCGTTTTGCCGACCTGCCAACCCTAAGCAGCCCCTTGGCAGCAAGCAGAAAACCTGCCGCATGAAAGCATCACTTCGAGCACTCCATGAGGAGGGCAAGCACTTATCCGCCAAACCCAGGCCAGGAACCTTGAGAAAACCAAACAAATGCCGGAAATAAAACTGAACATCGAGGCCAAAGTGAAGAAGCACTATCTTAGAAGACACTGAACTTTGAAAAAAGACGACACGCTATTCAGCCATGGCTGTGTCTTGGAGGGCTACGGTGCGGGTGCTGAGCCACTGAAAAGGCACGGCTTCGTTCCTCGGATTTTAGTGCCCACAGGAGCCAGTCCTGCTCTGGGGTTGGCGGTTCCCGCTTGAAAGCCAATCCTGCATGTTTGAGGCCTGTGGGGCCGCCAGCATTGCCGGCATCATCCGACGTCTCTTCGGTGCGGGAGGGCTGTTTTGTATATTTTGCGTGTGCGCTGCAAGTGCGTTCCAGGCCCGGGCTCAGAAGTCTGGAGACAACGACTGCGATGAGCAGGATCACGAAAGGCACGAGGAGATATGAGGCTGGTATCATCTGATATTTGTAAACCAATCTTGGCTTCAAAGATTAGTCGATTGATTGGCTGTCGTGGCTCATCGCTGACAGCAATAAAGATCCACGGTAGTAAGTTGCGAGCCAGACCTGCACACTGCACAAGAAATTCTACTCCTTGAAGAAGCCAGTTCGGATTTCCGGGCCCTTGGTGTCGAGCAAGATCCTGGTCAGTCTGCACCATCGTACACACCGCGCACGTATCGCGACTGCACAGATGCTTGGCATCTCAGAAGCGGCCAAGTCTCGCCACCGGCTTGTCCGGTCGCTGCTTGGAGGCCTCGCGGACCCGCCCGACGGTTGCGCCGTGGCCCTGACCAGACCGAGCAGAAGAGGACATCTGTGCAAGGCTCTCGCGCATGCTCTCGCCTCGTGATCTCCGTGAGAGAAGTTCAGCCTGGCGATGTTCAGACCTTCATCAATGAGCTTCCTTGGTCCCAGGGGCCCCAGGTGCACACGCAACTGTGTCCAATGCCATACACATTCAGGAGCTGCGGTGACCATGCCTCCCGCCGAGGAGCACAAGCATGGGAACATCCCAGCAGCAAGGACCCATGGTGCAGATAATCTTGCACTTGCGCTTGAAAGAGTCTGAACCACCCTCGCAAGGGCAAGCAGAAGCAGCAGGCACGGCGACACTTTGATTTTCAACTGTCGGCAGTCTGCCATTTCCGGGTAGTTCCTTCGCAGGCACAGCAAGCTCACCGGTTTGCCTCCGACAGGGACACCATCGAAGCCCGCGTAGCGGGATCGTCGAGCAGCATCGGGGACTGTTGGTACCTGGGTCTTCATGGTATACACGTTGACTGCAATCTACGTATTGGACATGAAAGTAATTCGAATGCAGCGCAGGCTCATCATGACCCAGGCTGAGGGCAACTGCCTTCGCTCTGCTGCCCGCTTCTGATGTGGTGACGCTTGACGGCTTCGGAGAAAACGGGTCAAATGATGTCAAGCTATATCACATCAGAGGCAGACAGTGGCCAGCAGGAGTGTTGCATTTTTCTGCCGAATTTTGAAGGAACGCTGTGTCCTCTGCAGCCGCGAAATGCCACTTAGTGGCACCGAACACATCGCCCTTTTGTGAGACTTCAAGAAACCAATATCTTGTTGACTTTGTGGCTTCTGTCAGCAAAGTGTCGCATTGTGGCAAGGCAAGCACAGGACAAAGCAAAGGCAAGGAATGTTGTACGAGTGTAGGCTCAGCAGCTGCGTGTAGCCCGCACAGGTCTTAGGAGTATCTGAGGGATCTTGGGCTTCAAGCTAACGCCCATGCTTGCACTCAGCTGACTCAGTGAAACGACTTGATCACAGTCCCGTCCGTCGTGTCCACAATCACAAAGGACCTGACGACAAAGCTTCGAACATCAACACCTACACAGAGCCTGCACTTCCAAGGACTGCAAGAGGCCTGAGGAACGTATCATAGCCGACAATCGAGCCTTCTTCATCCTGTGCGGAAGCATGTTCGCTTCCCATAAGAACACGGCTCACTTCCTCTTATCTCAAATTGAATTGTGTCAAGCCCCGCCCGTCGAAGGCCCGAATTCGGGCTTGCTACAGAAGTGTGGAAACAGCAATGTAGAACCATTGACGATTTATTCCTCAAGAGCACGAAAAAACACAAATCGTTTTAGTGTCAGGTCCAGCCCTTGCCCTCCCGGCCCTCCCCACGTTCACGCCCTCGCTCAGGGCATCACTCTGAGATCCGAGTCAAGTATCGCACGGGTGGGCGCGCCTCAAAAACGAATTTCGCTTTCAGCGCAGTATGTTCTAATTAATCGTCACCCCTGTTTCAAAACACTTGAGGCCAGCTCTAGGGATTGCTTGGTACCGCAACTTACTTGGCGGTGTGCCAGGTATGCAAAACCACAAGCTTCACCCCACCTCGTGGCTCCAGCTTGCGGTGGCGCAGGACCGTGCACGACACCGCAACAAGGGTTCCCGATTCCAACCATACTTGCAGGTTTTGAAAGGTAACGCCCCCTTCTGCTCACCACCTGCTCTTCGACTACTAGCTGGGCTTGAATGATAAGCAGGTCTTGGGTCTGCGCACGGGTTCCAGGCTTGAGCTACGCAGCGCTCGCGCTTCCTTCCGCTCTCTCTCTCTCTCGCCTTTCTCGTCGCTGGCTCCGTCTCATTGGTTTGCCAGCAGCCGGTGCTGTAAGGGCAGCACCCACTGCACTCCCCTCGTGCAGCACGCACCCGAAGGTCCAAATTTAGTCTGCACCCCGTCACTGTGACTGGATACCACTGCCGACAAACATCATCGCCATGAGATGTCATGATATCGCTGTGCTGCTACAACAACACTGGCTGCATGTCCTCCACAGTCAGCGCAGAAGACAGGTGCTTGATTTGAGATTCTGAAATGCCTTGTTCGTTCCTCAGGACATGACACCCGAAGCACACAAGCTGCAAAAGCTTGTCAGCACTCTGCCCCGCAAAATTTCGAGGCCAGGGCGAATGCAGGGCACTGTTCACGCCCCGAAGCACATTCTCGAAATCCTGGCTCCGGCTTTGGCAACCAGAACTTCATCAGCAGCTTCACCAGGCAGGCCTCGCTCAAGACCTTGCAACTGTCTACCTCATCGAGAAACTGGCAGCCCGTCCGGATGTGAACTCGATAACCTTTGCAACATGCGCTCGGCAGCGCTCCACAATTGAGACACTTTTTCTCTGCAGCCTGGAGATGTTTGGGTCCCTTCGCTGGGAGGCTGCGGTCAGGGCAACACCAAAGAACATTGGTCAAACTTGTTCATGTGCTCTGCCCTTGATGTCCGAAGCCGAGTGGCTGCCAAGTTAACCCACCCAAGGCCATGTGTATGCGCACAGCAATGCTTCAGTCCTCGTTTGCTGTTCCTGCTTGAGGCAGTGGTTCTCCACTGCAACAGACCCCCCACCGAAAGCTCCGCTTACCCAAACCCGGCCGCACCGCCAGTTCTTCTCTTTTGCAGAAGCGACCAATCCCCGGGCAGCTGAAATGCCGCTTGTCCGCCAGGTTGGCCAATAATGGGAAGCAACTGGAATGCTTAGTAGAAATGGCGTCTGACTTCATCTCGGCATCTCAGGACGGATTGATTAAGTGATTAAGCATCAGTCTTGAGAGTGAACCTGTTCAGTCTCTTTGGGCCGCTGGCGGAAGAGCAACGTAGTGAGGTCCTGCGGCGATTACATGCACTATTCCCTGACGAAGAAAGCGCATCTGTGCGCACAGGTAAGATTATTGAACAGCCGAAGGGCCTCCACCAAGCTGTTCTCCAAGTCTGCCGTGCCTTGACCTTTCAGTTGGAAAGCCTGCACATCGTCAGTGCAACATTCTGTTTCGTCACCCCGGTTTCTCAGAATTTCTCAAAGGTGCGTGGCCTGCTGAAACTCCAGATAGTTTAGAGTGCCGTCTTGCGTCACGTCCAAGACCTTCGAAATGTCCACAAGCTTCTCGTGCCTGCAGCTCTCGACTCCGATTCACACCCCTGACAAGAACTTCTAGGCAAGAAGGCGGCTGGGGCTTTGACGAAAGGCGCTCCCCATCCACAATTAACTTGTCCAATCCCGGCAACTGCGAAGCAAACGGCGCTCTCTTTGCACGGAGCATGGCAGACGACAAGGGTGGTCTTCGAAGCAGCGGCACCTTCTCGATGCCAGCAACAAACTCGTCCAGCTGCAGAATTCCATCACCAGACGTGTCGATCTCTTGGAAGACTTGGGACTGGCAATCAAGCGCAAGCAAATGCAAGCAAGCAACTCTAGGCAAAATGGCCACCCCTGCACACTGTCTTCCTAAGTCTGCAATGACACTTCTTGCAAGTTCTGTCTATGGCCCCAAACCAGTCAGTTATCCTGGACTTGGAAACGCGAGTCGAAAGGCGATGCTTCAAGCCAGTGCTCTGTTCCGAAAGGCAGCCTGTCTGAACACCTCGTTTCCGTTTCTGAAGCATAATAATGCTCTGAAAGCACTCAGGAGATCCGGCATATCGGGGTGCAGGACTTCAAGAAACAAGCGACCTCCCCGCGTCCCTGCAGGGGTGGTCTGCACTGACACGCTTGTTTAACAACATTGGACTATCCGGCGCAGCAGAGAGAGCCATGTAGCTGCACTGGCCACTTTCTTGACGAAACCAACCCTTCAGCTTTGACTTGTTGCTTTAGGCTTCCTGGGATCGGATACAAGTCAGGGGCACCATCTTGGTAGCATCTCCAGACTCGCCATCTCCTGCACCTAAGTCAGCAAGCGTCGCAAACGAGCCTGCACTCCTGTGTCTATCAGCTCGCGGTGTACTGTCAATACATCGTCACGTGGCCTTTTTGCCACTCGCAAGTTGGTATGCGAAGGTCTTGGATACTGTCAGCACCGTGTTGCTATGGTCCGAGCTTCTCGTGCTGAACACCAACCGCTCCACCAGGCAACGTCATCAGGTCATGTGTTCTCGGGCACGTAGGGTTCCAACAGCTGCTGTCGCAAATGGATGTTGAGCTGGCTCAAGTCTTTATCGGGAAAACTGGTGCCGGCGCTGCAAACGCCAGTTCCTCCACAAAATCACAGACGGAGGCAGCATCCGTTCAAAGCTGTGTATCGCAGCGTCTATTTCGCTATCGACCGAGCTTGCGACCAGCAGTTCCCAGCTGGCTCCGTCAGAGCCTCCGCAGTTTCCGCCAGCGCTGCCACGACCTCGCCTGCGCTCGTGCATTGCTACGACATACAGAAAGCACGGATGCAGCGCACTGTCATCAAGGCCTGTGAAGACATGTTCCTCGCCGGCATGCTCAACCTACGAGCAGTCGCACAGGTTGCACGTGGACAGGACATGCCTGGATGCTGTCGTTATCAAGCAGTTCTTGCAGGCCTCTGGCCTTGCGTCTACTAGCACGATGCCTCGTGCGGCATAGTCACAGATTCTCACAGATTGCAAGATGATGCATGCCCGAATGTTTGGGTCTCAGGCAGAACGTTGGACTAAATTCCCAAAAAGTCAGAAGTAGATCGCAATTGAAAACAACCCCCAGTCACTTGTAGGACTCTGTCCGTCGCCTGTCACCAGGTCCAGTACCGGGCCGAAGGCCGGCAACAAACAGACCGACAGGTGCACGTGTACCACCTGAATGCGGGGACCCCTCGCGCAGCCAAGGTACTGCCACCTTGAGGAGACGTTTTCAATCTTTGTCGTCTCTCTGCGGCCAGGACCTCTGCACGGGGGGGAGGGGGGTGGGTGGGAGAAAAAGCAGCCTTCAAACTTCACCGTGCCCATCTGCAACCCCTACTCCTGCAGCCTCCTGCATGAATCTAAGGAATCTAGGTACAACCTTCACCACCCTTCTGAATTCAAGACTAGGGCTGCAGTCCGCAGGCCACTCCGTGCTGCATGATGAACAGGAGGAAAGCACGCTGCATGGCAAAGTGCACGCCCCGGATGGCCTAGCTACTTTGCGACAGAAACCTGCAGGCATGTCTGGGTTATGCCTGCCTGGCTCTACTGCTTTACAACTTCTTGCGCGTGCCAAACCCTAAAACCCAAAACTTTTGGCACAGGACACATGAATATGATATGTTGGACACCACTGCTTTCTTGATCCTCTGCACGGCTTCGCAAACATCACAGGCAGCGGCTGCAACAGCCTGAGGACGGCACCAGGTGCCTGCACCCAACAACAGACTTGGGGCGAAGTGCAAACAGCATCGCTCGAAAGGAACGACTCTGGAAGACCCACCTTCGTCTTGATGATCAGCCGGCCGATTTGCCCCAGCGTATCGAGACACCTGAGTGAATGTCTCAAGCGCTTGGCTGCGGACAACAGCCCAAACAGTTGAACTGCAGCTCGGTTTCTACACGCTGGCTCAGAGAGCACGATTAAACAACTCCTATATGCTCATACAGCATAGGCGTAATGCGAAAGTGTGACGAACTTCGACGAGTATTTTGAGGGGCAAGCCATCGCGGCAGGTCTGCATTGTTTGTCGCAGAGTAGACCGTGGTGAAGTGCCCCAGGAACTCCTGTCACCGCTATTGAGAGCATTGCCACCACTTTCCTCGAAGACTCAGCATCCTGGACGGAAAGTCGCACAGAGTCAGCGGCAACCACCGAGGTAGCAAAGAGCTGGCCTCGGCACGTGTGCAACATTCAGTGCGACACACAATCAGTAGTAAGTGCCGCACCAAGAAGTCGATCTATCTGGGATGACCTTCTATCACATGTGGCGGAGCCATTGCTGACAGATCTAGCCATGAGAAGCTGCATCTGACACCTGTGTACTGAGGAACACACGACAGGCCGAGGTTGAACTTCTCTAGAACCTGAAACACAAGCACGAGAGGCAGAACGAATTCAGGCTTCAAAACTTCGGATCAAGAGAAGGATGCAAATTTGCTCGGCTCGGGCCTGCTTCGCCTCCTTGATGTCGACAGTCCCATCCCCATCTTTATCAAACATTTTGAAAGTTTCGGTGAGGTCCATGTCCATCGCGACAATTGCCTGCAGGCACAACGCGCCCAAAGCAGGCAACCGCCTTCGAAGCACGTGCCTCGTACACCTGCTTGATGGCATCATTCACGAAACTGTCAGAAAGTCGGAGGTTCTATGTGTCGCCATGGAAACAAAACAGGAGGTGCCGGAAGGCGTTACACACTTTGAGGGCACTGCGAGGAATATCCTGCAGATTCGCTCTTCACCACCCATTTGTTCAGAAACTTGGTGACCTGCCGAGCAAGGACGAACGTTGGAATCATAACATCAGCAGACGCATGGCTCTGGTTCGAACGTGATTTCAACATATCGTCTCAACAACCACGACAAGAAACTCTGCAGTTGATCACACTCTGATGCAATCCACACACCCTTCAAAGGACCACTAGCCACTAGCAGCTTGTGCGATGTTGTAGCATGCTCGCATTTGTGTACGTTACAGGTAGTTACGGATAGTTGCTTTAAAGACAACGTAAACTTAAACCCGTAGGCCTCCCCCATACTCAAGTATCAACTTCTCTACTTAGAACCGCCGAGAACCTTGAACAGGGTACACATGCTGGCAAATACACCAGGCTTTAGTGACACCCCACCCCCAACAAGCCTCCTTGCAACCAGGGCTGATGGGTTCGTGTCCTGTTCTCTTTCAACTTGTTACGAGTGAGGGGACAACAGTTTTGTTTCTACTAGCGACAACCACGAACAAATGACGATGACGAGAACGACAACAGCTGACTACTACTGCCGCTGCTGCTGCACTACTACAACTACTATTGCTACTGCTGCTGCCACTGCTACTGATGCTACCGCTACTGCTACTGCCACTCGACTGCGACTGCGACTGCTGCTGCTGGTGCTGGTGCTGCTACTGCTACAACTGGAACGATTTCTTGATCACGACGGTCGTATCAACAAGCGCAAGGGCCCGATAGACGTGGACCGCGACCTTGTGATTCCCATATTTTTGCAGGCGAGGACCTGAAAGTTCGCGTTATGCATTACCGGCTTGTCGCACTCATCACACACCATGGACAGCATCCAAAGACGGGACACTGCGCAGCTCACTTGTTCGAAGGATCCCGCATGTGGAGCTGCGATGACAACCGACGCGCACAAGTCATGTTAAACCTTCAATGGCTCGCGCTCGGACAAAGCTGCTCATTCTTTTTCGCAGCATCCGACAGCTAGTCAGTCTTGTGACGCGGTGCAGGCAGCAGCCGGCAAGAGACGAAGTTCGCAAGGCAGCTGTGCAATCAGCGGCCACTTCGAAAAGAATGCCGAAAGAGCTGCAGCGACAAAAGTTCGCACTTCGCACCTTCCACGGGTGGGCGGGCGGGAGAGTAAAAGCTGCGCGGCCGGGTTTTCAGTTGAACATGCTTCACATGTTAAACCTTCAATGGCTCGCGCTCGGACAAAGCTGCTCATTCTTTTTCGCAGCATCCGACAGCTAGTCAGTCTTGTGACGCGGTGCAGGCAGCAGCCGGCAAGAGACGAAGTTCGCAAGGCAGCTGTGCAATCAGCGGCCACTTCGAAAAGAATGCCGAAAGAGCTGCAGCGACAAAAGTTCGCACTTCGCACCTTCCACCCGTAAAAGAGCACCTCAAGGGCCTAAGAGGCCACGAGCGTGATCGGCTCATGACAGTGTAGGACTAGCCAGAGACCCTGAGGTGGCCCGCAGAACATTGCAAAAAGAAGAGATCGTAGATCGCGGCGGCGGCCGTCACTCGGGAGACGGCCGGATCGGGCAGCTTGAGAAGGAGGTTCTCAGCCGCCACTTCTTGCAGATAGGCTTCCAGCGTGACTTGGTGCTTGATTCGCATTCTCCATTGAATGGTCGCCAAATCCGTGCCGCGGTGGTACTCGGCCACCGCGCCACCGCCGCGAAGACCTCCTGGTGTGAGTCGCAAAGAGCGCGGCACCAGTAGTGCATCGATGAGGGCATCCCAACGTCGTCGAAAAGAGGAGGGAGACCCTGCGAACAGCAGCTCACTCGGCCGGAGATCTTTAAAGATCTGCTCCAGGAGTGGGAGGACCGCGCTGTTGTGCACTGAGATGTGCTGTACTCTAGCTTTGGTTCGCCGCCCTGTTTTGGGGGCCGAAATTTTTAGATAGCAAACTCGCTTTTCCTTGATGAGAAGATCTGAAGGCAACAGCAAGTCACTTCTGAAGGATCTGAGTGCCTCTCCAGGTCGTGAGATTCCCCAAAAAGCAATAAGCAATATGCCAGCGATTCGTTCCCAGCCCCACAACAGTGCTACTGCCACCATAGCCCGAAGTATGATCTCTGGAAGAGGAGCTCGGTGTTGAAGAGGCTCAACAAGCTCCCATTTTGAAACCAAGGTCCAGCATTCGGAGACATGCTGGCGGGCTCTCGGGCAGTGCTTCAGCGCAGCGAGAATCAAATGCCGAAAAAGATAAAGAGACTCTCCAGCATAAAACAAACTCCTGCCGAACTCCGAAACCAAGATACAGAGTAGCAATGGCTCCGCGAGGAAAGCATCGCTGGCAGCAACGGAAGTACTAGTAGCCACCCAGTTTTGGAACCGACCCCAGATTTTGCTCTGAAGCTGCTCGGTTTGCGCACTCACTAGCTTCACCTCGTCCAAAGAGACGTTTCGAGGGGCTCGAGGGAAACGGGAGGATGCACGGGGCCCGGGGTGGCTAGCTTCTCCGATGTTCAAGTTTGACACTTTGGCACATTTAGCCACGTCCAAACTGCAGAGCCGATCTTCTGGCCGAAGGCAGTGCCAGCTGGTCGCGGCACCCAGAAGTTCTGCAAAACGCCGGGGAAAGGCCTCGGCGACCTTAGTCCATGGCTTCTTGTAGCGCTTGCAGAAACCTCGCAGCGAGATGTGATCCGGGCAGCCGGGACAGCTATCTCTGCGGCCTCGGAGAATGCTGTTAGTGAACACCCGAGTGGGTTTCTTCCACCTGGTTCCGAAGGCGCACATGGTGGCGTCCCAAAAACCGCAATCATCACGAGTACGAAGTTCTGCCCATTCAGGCTGCTGCCAGAGCCACGACCGCAAAGGATTCTCGATCCAAAAAGTGAGCCCGTAAGAGATGCACAGAGAAACAACAGTAGCGAGCCACCTCGATAAAGAGTTTCCCTCACGAACTTTGGCACCCATGCTGTCGCGCATCTGAGGCAGCCCCTGAGGATAAAGGACCGAGCGGACCGACGGCACGATTGCGATCGAAAATGATGCACAAGCAGGAGAGGCGCCTACTGCACTGAAAACTCCTTCCTTGATGAGTTCCTCGACTTTTCCCCGAAGCTCCGCATCGAGGAGATCGCTCTGAGGGCCATCGTTCAAGTCAAGGCAGAGAGCCCACGTGGAAGCAGTCATGGAAACAACTTTGCTGACCCTGCGACCCCCGGAGAACAAATCAAGATATCCAGCTCTATCAAAGACCCACTCGCGCAGTCCTCCGGATCTATCTTGGTCATCGCGAGGCCACACAAAGTGACTGCTATCGAAGCTCTGCAGGATCCGAATGGCCCTCTCACTGAAGATGCTACTCAGCCATAGGCGCTCGGGCTCCGAGCACTTGGAATGCACAGTACTTCGCGAAACGCTCTTCTCGTGTGAACCCTGACAAGCCGAGCCCAACGGCGATATAGACACTGAGTCCCTCAGGTCTGCGGGCCCATCTGTACGCGGCAGGGCCTCAGGAGACCCCGGACCGAGCAGTTCAGAAGGATCCGGAATCCCCAGTTGGTCAGAGAGACCGTACCCCGCCTCTGAAAGCCACGTGTCGAAAGCAGCGAAGTCCCCACCTGCCGCGCTAGACCACCAGCTCGGCAATTGCAGATCGGGAGGTCGCACCTCCTTTCCTCTCGTGGGATCATCTGCTGGATTGACACTGGTGTTCACGTAAAAACCTTCGCTGACGACGTCCCCTCCGATCACTGTAGCCACCGACTGCTTCAACAAGGAGTTTAGGGCCAGACTTGATGATCGGCCTTTCTGGATACATCCCAGCACTACCTGAGAATCTGAACCACGGAGGGCCCGGCTCTCAGGCCAGTGGTAAGCTTGGCGCCTCTCCGACCGAAGAAAAGACCTGAGCTCCGACACGTTGATATGCCGACGGCGCTCGCTGCGAGCCCGCCACGCGAGCTTGTACTTCGGGCATCGCACCAGCACCTCCCAAAGAGGGTGCATGTGGAACTGTTTGCCTTCAGGTAGTTCCTCATCCGGGGCTAGAGCATCCAGGAGTCGAGCTCGAGCATTCAGCGGTCCCAGGAGCTTTGTCCAAACAGACTTCCTAAGCACATGTCGGACGCTCTCGTACGCAATCGGAGCAGGGATGCTTGCACTGACCTCGGCCTCGCCCCAGCTTGAAGCGTCTGTGGTGAAGACCTCGGGGAGCACAGAAGCCCGTATGTTCGTCACCGCCAGAGGTAAAAGGAGAGCACAGAGCATGAGCTCATCTAGGAGCTCGGCATCAACCTGAAGCACTTCATCAGCCTCCCGATGCTGCACCACTGAGAAGATCACTGAGAGAAGGGAGAGCAGCCTCCGCTTGTAGATGAAAAGGGAGACGAGGGACCCAGCGACCGCCTGAAGCAAGCTAACGGTGGCCCTCCTAGCGCTCACAATCCTCAAGATCACGTGCATCAGAGGGATGGCCCGGGTCAGCGAGCCACGAACAAGGCCCGCCTCTCCGTCGATGTCTGTACCCCAGAAGGTGGCCCGGGGTTCATCACGAAAGGCCTTCCCAGTGTGCGGTATGAGCCCTTCTTCAATGTACTTGTGACTGACCTTATCAGCAGCACGAGCGCCGGCACTGGGCACCGCCTTGTCATGATCAGCGATCTTCACCTTCTCGGCACACACGAAGTCATCTATCACAATGCCACCAAAGCAGGAAGCCCTAGGCGCGGGCCCGGCCAATGTTAAAGTCGAGGCTGGGGTCAAAGCACCTGAGCGCCATGCGAGACTTATATGGCAAGTTTGTGCTACTTCCACGGCTTGAGTGTCGCCCATCGCCAGGGTGTTCAAGGCGGGGACCAACACGCGAGCTCCTCCGTGTCGATCAGGATCATACGCTCGCAAGTGTCGGCACAGGGCCTCCGGAATCATCATGTTGAAAGCGTTCCTAGCCGCTCGTTCTCTGGGAACTTGGAATAGATGATAGAAGTCTCTCACATCGTTCCCCGAAAACAGTGCCTTCTCGTCTGGTAGAAGTACGACTCGACATAGACTCTCACCTGATGCCAAACTTTTGATCCATCTTCCTAAGGGATGTTCTAGGGTATTTGGTCGCCTCGCATCGACTATGAGTCGATCTCGCTGCTGATCCTTGCCTACGGCGAACACTCCCGACAGGTGATCTAGCCGCACTTCTTCGGGCCGAAAAAGAGCGAGCCTGTTGCTGCTGTCGAGGAGCTCCAGGAACTGCTCTCGCTTGCCCTCAGTGATGTGGACCTGAACAGCGGGGAGCGGGACGGTGCACTCCCACGGAAGCAGAGCATGCCGAAGTGGATGTAGAAAAATTTCGCGACCCCGTCGATCTAGGTATGGGGCGGGATCAAAAGAGGGCTCGCCGGTGAAGACTATGCGGTCCGGGTCCAGCTTCTTGAAAGTCGCACCTAAGTTCGACTTTACTTTTCCGAGTTTGACGATGTCCGGAGGTGGCTCGTGACCGGGCTTAAGTACGGCGCCCTCGCGGCCCTTGTAAGATCCAGCCCCGAAGGTGTCCTCCAGCATCGCCTCAAGTGCTCCAAGGATGGAGTCGAACTCTTCGATCTTTTCTGCATTTCGCCCCAGATTGTCAGGAGTGATCTGCGGATGAATTAGCCACGCTTCCAGCAAACGCTCAAGTCGCCTAACGACTGCCCACTGCCTAAAATTCAACCTCCGCCCAACTGAAAGCTCGGAAGGGGCCTGAGGGGACCCTCGCAGGTGAAGGAAGGAGAGCGCAATCACAATGGAGTTCATGGCCCGCTTCCTCGTCCGGCTCACGGGTGGCTCTCCGGTTTCCCTGCCGGCCTCTGGATAAGGAGGAGGCATGGGCCAAACTTCGGATGCTGGCATAGCGGTAAAAGACCTTGTATGGTCGGCCTGTCTAAAGATGCTTCTGGCAAAAGACCCCAGCGGACTATCTAATCGAAGAAGCCGACGGGGCAGTGAATTCAACAAAGAACTTGCATTGAAGGAGGTGGGGAGACCGGGGGCCTCGTTGTCATCATCCTGGGGCCCACCTCCAGCTTCTACTCGTCGGCGGCACTGGTGGCTTTTGCTTTGGCTTTGCCCTTCGCGCCGGCCTTCTGAGCCTTGTCGCCCTTCTCGGATTCGTCTTTCCGGCCGTCTCCGGGCGTCCCGGGGCGACGCTGCCCGAGCTTGCGGCGGGCTTCTTGGAAGGATTCTTGTTCCTTCAGCTGCCACAGAAACAGCTCGAACCACCGGGGATCGTAGAGGGCCGAATGCTGCAGCTCGTGGGCGGCCGGAGCCGAGTGATGCGCGAACTGCTGGTAAGGAGGAGGTCCCTCCAACAGGCTGACTGTAGACACCAGCCAATTGCCGGCATCTATGGAGCTCTGCTCGCCCGCCCCCATCAAAAGGGCCACACGGGCTCGCGCTTCCTCGGTCCGTTGCTGCATTAAGCAATCCCAGATCCCGGCCAGTTGCCACATCCATCTCACATGGTTCGTGTAATTCTGAACTCGGGATCTCGCCTGCAACCAAGCCCTCGCTGTGGCTCGGCCTTCGGGCGCCCCGGGCACCCCTTCCTGCAATCCAAAATCTTCTCTGAGATTTCGCTCCATGGCCTCGTAGATGACCGCCGGTCGCTCCCGGAGAAGTTTCCGAAGAGCAAGCAAAGCCGCGGAATTCCTTCGGGATGATCCGGCACTGGACTCGGCCCTGTCCCCAAGCCCGCCTGACAACAGACTCTCGAAGTCGGCGGCAGGCTCCTTCTTCTTTCCAGCGAGGCTCTTGGCGATCTTGGTCAGCTCCATCACCGCCTTCTGCATCGCGTCGGGCGGGGGACGGCCATCTGCTGCAGGTGTTCCTCGGAGATCCCGGCGGCACGGGCCGCATTCACGGCCTGCCGGTCTAAGTTCCCGATGCCTGCTCCCGGTGGGCCTGTACTCGGAGCCGGTTTCTGCACCTTTGCTGGCTTTGCTTCTGCCCTTTGTTCGGCGCTTGCCCGGCCTGGCCCTTTCTCCTTTGCCGCCTTCTGCCCCGCAACCAAAGTGGCCAGGCACTCTTTGATCTCGGTCAGGGAGCCTTCCAGTGCCGTGACCCGTCGTTCGAAGGCCCCGCCTTCGGCAGGACGAGCAGCCGGAGGAGCAGCAGACTCGGCGGTAAGAAAAGAGAAGTGCTCGTCTCCGAGGGAAACGAGAGCATCGGGAAGAGGTCGAACAGGCTGACCATGGGCATCCTCGAAGTCGTGCGGAATGCTCTCCTCCTCGGCCTGCTCTCGAATCAAAACCTCGACCCCAGAAGAAAGGAAAGCGACCCACACCTTGAGCTCGGCAACCTCCTGCGATTCCCCAGGCTGCCCAGCTACCACGGCTAACACGGGCTTTACCAAGGCACCAGGCGGCAACAGACGTCGGCTGGGCGAGCGATGCCAAACGGAAGAAGGGAGTGCTGCGAGAAGCCTGTTCCCAACCACCACTATAGGAATTACGGAAACAAGCTTGGCTGCCTCCCCCGCCCCACTCGGCAACTCCAAGACGAGGAAGGTCTGCTCCAGCTCGAGGTTTGTGCCATCGGGTCCCACCAAACACCAATCTCGCGGGGACAAAGCGCTGCCATCCAGCAATGCATCCTCCTCGCCAACCTCTCCCGGAGGGGGAGCTTCTGCCAGAGCATCTGCAGCGCCATCCTCGGTCATCGTAGCGGCTCCAAAGGCCAGACCAAACCTGCCTGACGGACAGCTTCCTTGGCCTCGCGCTGCGAGGCGAACCCGGCAAAAATGGAGTCGCCGTACCCACCTTGATGTTGGACAAGAGGGTAGATGTCACTGAAGCGAAAGAAGACCCTGACGGGGTCCTGGAAGGTGTGCCCGGCGCTGTCCCGGACCAATACGTACACTCGCTTAGGTAAGCCAATCTTGGTCTGGCCCGCTCCTCGACGATCCCTGCCCTCCAGGCAGCGACGGAAGAAATTACCAGTATCACGAGCGATCTCCAAACGCCGCTCCCAACCCAGAACGCCGTCGTTCTGGCGCTCCTCGGCTGGGCCTCCAGCCGAAACGACAGAGTACCCTAGGGCACTCGAAGAGGCGGCCTCCTCGGCCTCAGGGGCAGCAACTAGGCCAGCCTCGATTTCCAGCACACGAATGCGCCGGCAAAGTGAATCAAGCTGAGCCTGAACGTCCTCCTGGCTCATTCAAGGATTTTGTAGAGCTTGGAGGGGGGACGGTGCAGCCGGGCCCGAATCTGGGCCTTCAAGTAGCTTTGCCAGAGGTAAAGCAGCTCAAAGACAGGCCACAAAATCAATCCCAGTAGAATGCCGATCACGAGGGAGAGGAGGTCCAAATGCAAACCCAGCAGGCGAAGATTTAAATCCGGAGGCAAATCCGGGCAGCGAAAGTCAGGCAAATCCGGAGATCTGAATGCCTGTTGGAGAGCAGCCAGGATAAGCGCGCCTGCAGATCCAGAGGCAGCCGCCGGCCCAAGTCTATGGCTCAGGTCCATACGCTGTCGCTCGAGAGTAAAAGCTGCGCGGCCGGGTTTTCAGTTGAACATGCTTCACATGCATTTTCATGCTTCTGACGTCGTCATCATCTGATGTCATGCTACAGGGTCTTGCGAGGCGATGACATCGCGGATACACGTGTGTTTCTGAGGCAGCAATGCTGCGTGCCCTCGAGGTGCCGGGCGAAATCGCTTGCTCACTTACTCCGCCGCAGGGCGGTCGACGCGACTGCTGCGCACAAAGGCTACAAGGCTGCCACTGCTACTGCTGCTGCTACTGCTACTGCTACTACTACTACTACTACTGCTACTACTACTACTGCTACTACTACTACTACTACTACGACGACGACGCTTCATGGGTTCAATCAGAAAAGCCGCTAGGGATTTTGAAATGTATCCAGAAACGGGTATAAGCATCCTCGGTGAGACCCCTCTTTCCAATGATGCGGGCGGCAGGTGGCCAAATATCGAGTTTTGCAAGTTTACTCTGCCCCCAGTGTTGAGGCCCGCAATCTGCACCACAAGGACCACTAGAATGTCAGGCGAGAAATGCTCTTCCAGCTGGTCACATTGGCTGGTTCACTTTGCAGCAGTTCCTGCATGATTCTCAGGATCGCGGAGCGCTCAGCTGCACTCTGCCGCAAACTCCTTCATGATTGATTTTGGGTTGTCTCATGCGTCCTTCCATGGGTTGCGGCGGCATACACAAGCTTATCCTTGGATGGGTGCGTTGCTTTGCACTATTGTCAACCAGGTCTGTCCTGAACATCGGCGCACCACGGTTGTCATGTTGCGCAACATCATGACTCAAGCTCACACTGATGCGCACAACGACCCCGAGTTCCGTAACTTGCTGGTTCATTTCTACTTGTCCATGGCTGGACAGCGGTACATGCTAGATCATGCTAGTTGCTTGTCACATTCACATTCACAACTCGGAGCGCCTTAACTATGAGCATGCTGTGTGTCCGGAGAATCTCGGGTTCATGACTCGAGCAGCAGCAGCAGCAGCTGCTGCTGCTACTACTACTACGACGAGGACGACTCGCGCTGGAAGGAGGCCTGGTGTTTTCATATGTTTTGGCGTGAATGTTGTTCAGATTTGAGCACCTCCACGCTGTTTTCGGCTGCTACGAAAATTAGAATGCGCAAAGAATCAAAGAAAAATGCGTTTAGCGACGTGAAGTACCGAAAGTACTGGCAAGCCGAGCAGTTCGTGCGTCTTTCAGCTCAGGGTGTCAAAAATTACAAAGTAGTTGTTGAAGCTTTGGGATACTCATAGTCTGCTGTTGGCACGGGTCCTGCTCTGTCTTACACAAGCAGTTCACATAGGAAAGCAGACAGGAACAGAACTCGATCAAACATGAGAAGCAGGAGCGCTACGCTACATCCCTGATATTCCAATCTGAAAAAGCTGATCCGAAATCGTGATTAAAGAAAAATGGTGCGTTTAGCGACGTGGAACGACCTAAAGTGCCGAAAGCGCCGAGCAATTCGTGCATAATTCCGCTCAGGGTGACAGAAATCATAAAAAATCACAAAGTAGTTTTTGAACCTTCGGGATTTCACCGTGCAAACAACACCATGAAGAACTGCACCATGCATCCATCAAACTACTACTAGCCAACCCCCCCCTCCCCTACCAACCACCTGGCACCTAAACCCATCAGCATCATCATCTTCATCATTTCTGGTATTGGCTACGACATCACGAAAGTACTGTACATACCGGCAAAATGGATGTGCTCTTGAGCAGCATGTCATCATGCCCCCCCCACCCCCGCAAGCCGCAGCAGTGCTACAGTGGTGGTTGGTATTGGACTGTAACATCGCGAAAATACTATAAATACCGAGTAAAATGAATGAGCTCTTGAGCAGCATGTCATCATACCCCCCCCCCCCCACCCTACCCCCCCAACCCCGGAAGCCGCAACAGTGCTCAACAGTGGTGGTTGGTATTGGACTACAACATCACGAAAGTACTGTAAATACCGAGAAAAATGGATGTGCTGTTAAACAGTGTCTAGGAGAGGTGGTTGGCAGGGCGTCGCCTCCTGCTCCTACTACTACTACTACTACTACTACTACTACTACTACTACTACTCCTGCTGCTGCTGCTGCTGCTGCTGCTGCTGCTGCTGCTTCTACCAATACTCCTATCAGTACTCCTACCAAGGGTCTCGGCTGGAGCCAGAAAGGTGCCTGGTTTTGTAGCCCACGGAAGTGTCACAGGGTTCATGGTTTCGCAAGCGCTTCCTGCTCGACTTTTGACAGGCATTCTGCTCGTTGTGTGGCGACAGGGCTTCGGCTGGGGTGGTCCCAATTCCAGCCCCAATCTGATGCGCTTCCAAGCGAGATGTGTGATCAAGAATACAGTGGAGACCTGAGGGTTGGGTGGCGTTCCACAGGCCGCCTTGGAGTTCCTTCGGGAACGAAACTTTTTTTGGGCAAAGCAATTCAACACTTGCTGCAGAGGTTCCCTGGGCTCGAAAACGAGCTCTGAGGGAGAGCGCGCAATCGTGCGTGCACGGACACGGGTTTTGGTACGTAAGCAAGTGGCACACGCCGGCCATGCTTGGTCTTCGTGACGGTGCTCAGCAGCCGGCTGCCGAGCGAACTCGCAGGGTGCAGCCACCACACAACCGGACCGGTGCGCGACGTTTGCGGTTGATGACGTATAACATTGGGGACTAGCTCCGGAGTCGTTTGATGTGCTGTCGGGCTTGGTTAGAGGAGCAGCGACCGGCCGACGTCATTGTCATTCAAGAAAGAACTTCATCTTGGCTCCGGACGCGAGGGCTCACATTGGGTCATGCGGAACGGATGGAATCCTTTCACAACTGCGGATGCCTCTGTGCGTTTTTCGGAAGTGGGCATTTTGCTTGCCCCTTTCTGGCGAAAACATCGACTCACGTGGCACCCTGGACGTCTCTTACATGTGAGGTGCGAGCTGCGGAAACCGAACCTTGACCTTGTAGGACTATACAAGTTTGTGGAGACTTCTCTTTCTGTTACTGGCAAGGCTAGCAATGCTGCTAAGCGTAGTGATGTTTGGTCCAAACTTGGGCGGGTGTTACATGGGATCCCTCACCGTAAGTTGCTGTGCGTTGGTGCTGACATGAATTCTGTCTGCAGTGGCTTGTCTGGTCTGGTGGGGCGTGGTGTCTTGCATCACCCGCAGCGCCAAGCAGATGCCGAGCTCTTGTACTACTACTACTACTACTACTACTACTACTACTACTACTACTACTACTACTACTACTACTACTACTACTACTGCTACTGCTACTGCTACTGCTACTGCTACTGCTACTGCTACTGACTACTACTACTACTACTACTACTACTACTACTACTACTACTACTACCTACTACTGCTACTGCTACTGCTACTGCTACTGCTACTGCTACTGCTACTACTACTACTACTACTACTACTACTACTACTACTACTACTGCTACTGCTACTGCTACTGCTACTACTACTACTACTGCTACTACTATGACGACGACGATTACCGCAAACACCAGCACCGGCACCAGCACCAGTATCAGCAGCAACGACAGCAACAGTGACAGGAAAAGCCGAACCAAATTATCTAACGTATAACCGTGTATTAAGATACTGGAAATGTCGTTTCGATGACACTGGAGGCAGTGGTATTATATCAGCACTGCTCAGCACGTGTTCATCAAGGTTTTAGGGTGATGGATAATTGCGAACATAATGACATATCCAGCAGGTGTGGGGAGAGGTTATGCCGTAGTAGGGGAGCTGAGCATCCCCTCTTCAGCCGAACTGTTCGGGTGCCTCGATCTGTCCATCCTGGACCACACCCCACTCCTCTAAGGCCTCAAGACAGATCTGCGACCTAACGAGGCCAAATTCTGTAGCGTCCGTGGCTGGCCTCCTTCCACGGATTGTCACTTTCAATTTGCCTCGAGTCACAAAATGCCAGTGGCAGCCTCTTTTGTTGTCGGAATCACACCATGGTCACGATGCCAAGCGAAGGACGCTTCCATCATCTGCACGAACTCATCTATCGGCATTTTCTGTCCTGTGCCAAGCCGAACTGAAAACGCATTCGCTCGCGCAGTGAACACGACTGACAAAGGAGCACCTAGAGAATTTCGGATGATGTACGACCAGAGCTGGGGCTTCTTCTCGATAATGGAGATGATCATGCGCCTGGGTGAGGCTCAGTGAGCACCGGGAATGCCTGCAATACTGATTAAGTGCCGAGCGCAAAGGTTTTTTCTTGGCGAGCAACTCGGGATGCCTTCCGCGCGCGCGCGCGCGAAAACCAACAAACCCACATGACCTCAGAAAAAAATATGTTTTAACTTCATTTCTAGACCTACCTTGAACCTTCCGAAGACGCATCTAAATTAATCAGTCCTTTCCTATTGCGGCCCGGTCAGAGACTGACTAACTGTTCATATTTTACCTAGCAACCAGGCTGCTAGAACAACATTACTGGAAAGTGGCATCGTGTTGGATCTCCATGAAACATTACTATCGCGGATTCATGGATGGTCATGATATTTGAGGATCTGCAACGAGATAGTAGTGTAATTGAGCGTGGGGGCAGCCCAGGTAGCACCGGGCAGTGCGCATCCGCCGAGCATGCGCCGGTTGGTGTGCGTGGGCCGGAGGTGTGCTAGCCGGTGCGCTGGTGCACAGCTGCGCGATGCTGCGCGTGGCGCCGGCGAGTGCCGAGGACCACACTTTTGCCGTTAACTACGCGGTGCGGCGTGCTTCAGTGCTTGGCAAATATATGACTTTAGGCACCGAAAGCAAACCATACACAGCTCAAAACAAACATTCGTTTGCAAAGACAAATCTTCATGTCGTCCTTATTTGGGCTTGCAACGTCTGGGCTTCTGGACCTCCAAACTGTCTCGCTGCTGAGACGTCGATGTCTTGTTCCAGTCCACAGAGTCTCCTGCCCCGCCAAAAGCAGACACCATGCATTGCAAGAGAAGTCCTGCCTTGTGCAACGATGCTAGGCATTTCGTCCAGCGGCGCTGCGAAATGCCTTAAAGAAAGATGCTCAGTCGAGCCGAAGACATAGCAAGGAGAGGCGAGAGTTCTGCATTTGCTGCTTGTTTTGCGTTTTGCATTCGGTCCCACCCCACCCACACTCCCCGTTTACCCACACCCACCCTCCAACGCACAGCGTGATCGTTGCTCCAGAAAGCGATATGAAGGGCCGATATTTGAGATCTGGACAGATACGGGATCATCCGCCAGCTCCCCATCCGGTCAGATACGAGCGCAATCGGCATTGCCACATGAGAGGGCCAGCTTACGACATGGGATCAATTGCCATCGCCTACTGGTAATGAAAAGACAGGATCCAACCGCGCTCGCTTAATGAGGGGCCGGGTGTAAGATATGGGATCAACCTCACTCGCCGCCTCAAGGGGCGGGTTCAAGATAGAAGATCAAGCACCATCGTGTAACAAATGGGGGTGGCCTGGTTTGAGATAGGGATCAACGGCTCGAATAACGAGAGGACGAATTTGAGATGCGCTGAGCAATTTTCGAACTCAACCACCATGGCGTACTGAGGGACAGGTACAAGATATGAGATCAAGCGCTTGCTATCATCTAACGTGGGGGCGGACTTGATGAATGTATGAAACAAACCGCCATCGCCTAACGAGGGGGCGGATTTACAACATGGGCCCAACCTCATCTGCCAATTATATAACAAGGGACCAACCCCATCGCCCAATGCGGGGGCGAGCTGAATATGTGGACAGGGCGGATTTGGTTCATGCAAGCAGCCGCCGTCATATGGTGAGGTTGCGAGGGCATGACAGTCTGGGGGAATTTAAAGCATGAGATCAACCGAACTCGACCAATGAAGGACCAGGTTCAAGATATGGGGTAAAAGCAGTGCGAGTTTGAGGCAGGAGATTCACAGCCATAAGGGGCGGGTGCTTCATGAGGGCACGAGTTTAAGACCTGGGACCAGCTGCGTCCGTGCAAACTTTCACAATCTTTTGTACCTTCGAAGGTTGCAGCTTTCAAACTCTCAAACATTCAAACTCGGAACCCAGCGGACGGTTCGCTTTCAAACTTTCGAACTCCCAAACTCTGAAAGACCGAAATCATCGATTCGTCAATCTCTCGACCTCAGCAGCGAGCCGCGAGCCGACTTTGAGCCAATCTTAGAAACTCGAAACTCGCAAATTTACAACTTTCGAACTTTCAACCTTGGAAAGTTTCGAGCTGTGACGCTAAAAACTTTCGAACCCTTCAAACCTTCGAAAAAACGAGCCTTCTAACTTTGAGAGACGATCGAACTCGGCCACGGCCGAGGGTTGTAGCTTGAGTTCCAATCAGCGAGTCGAGCTCGATCGTTTGGGACACTTTGAGAGGTTCGACTTTGGCGCACGCGCACTTGCGCCTTCCAAGCCTTCAAACTTTCGAACTCCTGCAGCTGAAACCTTCCAAGCTTCAAACTTTCACGCGCCCAACCTAGTGCGAACCTGCGACCAGCTTGGCAGAGCGGGGGCCGGTAAGAAGGTTTTCTGTGTTTTGGGAGGGGGGGTTGGTGGTGACCCCTCCCTTTGACGGATGGCGAACCCCCCTCGGGATCGTGGATTTTCTGCACAGATATTTGTCGTCTACACAATGGTTTCGGCTTGCTTTTAGTATGGAATGTTGACCTTGGGCTTGCGAATGTGGGGGTATGTGTATGCAGACTTAATCATTACTCATTACTCCGCCGAGGCCACAGGCCCAGGCGTCTTGCGGGTTAGCTCAGGCACCCTCCACCCACCTCACCTACCTCTCCAAAGTTTGGACGCACCCGGTTTTTGCCTGCTTTTTCGGCCCTCCCCCCGTGACCCCCTTTTCCTGCTGTTGTTCGGCATTTTTCTGCTTACCCTGGGCCCCCCCCTCTGCCTCCCCTCTTCCCCAACCGCTCTTCGGCCCTTCTGCTGCCCCTCCGTCCCTTGCTTCTGAGTCCTGTCACACTGCTGGTCTCCAGCAAGCCGACGCGGGCGGCGTAGCGTTGAAATTCTTGACACAGCACAATGCATGCAGGCAATCGCAGAGGGGCAAATATTTTGTAGAGGAAGCAGGATAGTACACAGTAAGCACATATTGGCGCAGTCGGCCCCCAACCCCCCCCCGTCCCCTACACTAAGCTATTCTTTCGGCTGTGTTGCAGAAACCTGCCCCCCCACCCTCGCAAAACCATCGGATATGCGGCGGGAACGTCACACGAGGCCATGTCAGGCCCCGGCTCGAACACCTCGTAGCGTGGAAAGTTTGCGGCAGACAGGACAATCACCGCGCCAAAGTTCCTACCAAGGCACTGTCCATTTCCCGGAAACACCATGCAGTTCCCCTGCGAACCCCACCCTCCATCGCCACAGTAGTTGCTGGCACTGAAGACAGTTACGCAGCGGTCGTTGTGCTGTTTCTGGAAGCCACGCCTCACAAGCACGTGCTAATAGCTACATCACCTTGACACAAACCCAGCTTTCCACTTGAACCGCTCAAGAGCATTGCAATCCCCATCCCCCGTGCGTGCCCATCTTCTGGCACTTGATGGCTTCTGACCAGAAACCTGCCGCACCGACAAAACCAGAAACTTGGAGGACGCTCGGGATGTTCTTTGGCAACATGCCTGCCTCAGCCGATTCTGGCTGCAGAATTTGGTCGTCACATCAGGGCCGTACTTTATTCCCACGCCACGGTCTGACCTGCTGCTCGCACCCAGCAAAACCGATCCCGTTCATCCGACCAAGCAAGCCAGAGTAGCTTGTATTTCCCCTCGTGTTCGGTGGGATCGCTCCAAAGCAGGTCAGAGAAAAGCTGTTCCTGCCATTGGAAATGCCAAATCGAAAACATCGACGGTGCTGCTAATCTTCTATCGCACATCGAAATCGCCTTCACGTTGCTGGACATGGGATGTGGCGCGGTGTAGTCCTCTGTCTCAATACCCTCTGGCTGAAACGAAACACTTCGCAAAGAACGGTTGGGTGTTCGGGCTGTTTGGAATGACAGGTGTCGGTACGTTGCACAGGCACTGCAATGGCAGGTTGCCTGGAAAGGCAACGTGTTGATGTAGTCGATTGTAAGGTTCTTCACCTTCGTAGGTTTCCATACGTATGTGAATCTCAAGCAAGCATGTGAGTTGTTGTGGCGAGGGCCCGCGTCAGCCCGCCATGCACAACGAAGATCTCCTGAGAACATCTGCAAGTACCATCAGTTGCCGGATCAAAAATGCTGGTCCGAACAGTGCAGATACTGGCCTTGTTGATGACAGATGCCAACGACATGACTTTGAAGGAACTGACGAAATGCCGGTACCTGAAGTACGCAACTCGAGCAAAGCCGCATCAAATGCTGCCAGCGAGCCATCTGGGCTACAAGCACGGACAGGCCGTATTTTTCCATCACCTGACGCTTCTACACATCGCCCTGGAGTGCTCAAGCTGCACGAGACAGAATGTGCGCCTCATCTTCGAAGCCTCCGCCGTTGTCCGCGTGCAATGCGTTCATGTCCTCGAAGCAAAAGAGTCAGTGCGCAGGCAAGTGCTGTGCTTCGTGCATTTTGAACCTGGCCTCGTTCTCGTGGTTGCCACGATGCACAATGACTGACCTACGTTCCATCGCGCGCATCGCAGGGCGGGAGGGAGGCGACACGACTGAGCTCCCTGCTCTGGGTCTGCAAGAAAAAAAGCAAATAGAATCAAAAGGATCTCGACGCCCTGGAAGGCACGGGCAAAATTCCATAGGCAGGACTCTGCACACTGTCTGTCGACGACAATGGTTCTGTTTCGTGTCTGTGGTGGTGTGTATCGATGCTTCTAGAGGACTTGTGTCCATAATGGCCATCGCATGTGATGTCCGCAGCTTGTGTACGACTGGGCTGGCTATTAATTTCCGGTTGTCCGCAGGTTAACATTCCGCAGAAGTTCTGAGCAGCTGGTTCCGCCCATGCGGCATCACATGAAAATTACGGTCATGATGACGGTGATCATGCGCTGGTCCGGGAGTCTTCTTCTGGTCATGGCGATGGCGAAGTCTTCAAATGCAGATGTATATGAAAATATTCGGCGTGAGCCATTTGCTCTATGAACGTCTTCGCCAGATATGCTCAGCTCCACGTGCTTAGGTTGATAAAGTTTGACCGCCTCACTCTCTTTTGGGTCATAGATGTCGCATGGAAGCATTATCCCTTGTCCTTCAGTTCCCTACCCGACCTTTCTGCTCTGATCATCTCTTCCCTTCTGGCTCGTCCTGTTTCTTCGTTATGGCCTTTGCTTTTGCCTGTCTGATGTGAGCATCTTCTGTCTGTGTAGCGTTTCGGCCCATACTTGTTGAAAGCAGGTCAGTTGTTCGCTATTTGGGTCGGCCCGTGTGAAAGTTGTAGTACTGGAAGTCGATCAAGCAAGTGCACTGTTCACTTTTGTCCTTTGTGTCGAGTGGGCAAGGATCAGTACCAGTTTGATCACCCCTAGACAAAGCTGCAAAGCTCGTCATCTGCACGGGTCCGGATGTGAAACTCGCTGCCAACATTAATTAGCAATGCGAAATGCGAAATAATGTGAAGCTTGCTGGTCGGCCGACTTGACGAGCCCTTACTGCTCAGTTTCAACATGGTAAGCCTGATTGCGTTGCCTTTTCGGCGACTACGGTTTCTCATTCCAGTCGATGATGAGTCGCCTCCATCCGTTGAATTGCACGGCAAGTGGCCGAACATCATCATTGCCGGCTTCACGGTGCTCATGCTCCAAACGAGTTGACTCCATCGAGTCATCATCCTCCGATTAGCCCTCAGCGTCGCTTAGCGCTCTCCCTTGAAAGCGCTGCCTTATGCGCGCAACGGCTCGACAAACTTTGGCAGCAGGCGTCACAGCTAGGAAATGTGGGCGAACGCACGTCCCGAGGAGCTGAGCCATTCTTGCCCACTTGGCATTCGATTTGGAATCCTCTGGTCCAAGTCCTGTGGTTGCTGCCTGAAGTTTGATCTTGGGAAGGCTTTGGACCGTGCACCCTGCGAGCCTCTTGGATGCATGTAGCAGGAAATTGAAATGCCTCCTGGTGGTGTTGATGCTCTATCATGCTCTGGCATGTCATATGTCCGTGAAAGCCGGGAGCGTGCTTTGATAAATCTGGGCGACTTTGCGGTGACATATGACAGGGTTGTCCGTTGAGTATGCTAAGTACGAGCTCTCGCGACAATCACTCCCGGGTGCCTGCACTTTGGTGCTTTCATGACGAGTGCCACGGTCACACGCTGCAATCCGTTGTGTTGTCTGGTCGTCTCTAGGCCAAATGAAATTCGACGAGTGATTGATTGACACTCGTACTGCACTCCGTTATGCCTTTGCTTGCAGGAAGCGTCGTATTGAGGCTAGACGTCCAATTGAGCTTGAGGTTAAGCACCTGCGGAAGTGGATCCGTGTGGCCGCTCGTCCACGTCATCTTCCCTTTTGTTCGATGGAAGTGCTTACTACTCACACCGTCTCAAATTAGTTAGGGCAGTCGAACACATCCATTGGCCACGAAAATGGTGGCGTTGTAAACAAGCTTCGTTCCGCGGTGTTACGGTGCCTCTCAGTTTAATGTCGTTTACGGAGTCTGTATTTTCCGCTCTCAATTTCATCGTCCTTGAACAAACACTTTTGCAGAGTGGTCGACGTGACCTGGTGTCAACATCGCGTGCATGCCTTTCCACTCACGGCAGGGTACGAATTCGGTGTGTCGTGACAGATGTTCCACCGGCCTCGGCATGGAATTGGCTCCCTGGGGAGAAAGATGCAATGTCCGCCCCTCGAAGAGATTTTGAAAGGTATGTTTGGAGCATTTTGGAGCTCAAACTTTGCTTTATCTTCGTCGTGAACGACACTTGGTCCAGTTAGGCCACCAAGGTGGTGCAGGAAGGCTCCCTCCAGGACGTTTTTTGAAGACGTCGTAACAAAATCTAGCAAGCCTGTGACCGCTGCAGGGGGAACAAACTCTGTGGAGCACATCTCGTGGCATTGCTCTCCTCAGGATCATCTGCAACATCCAACTGCTCATTTACTTTGTTGGCTCGTTCCTGCTCAATCATGCTTCAGACAGTTAGGCTACCGTCTTGACAACGATAGTGGATAACCGACTCTGGTCGACATTTGGCAAACTCACATTCGAAATTGCCTTGCAGGTAGTTTTCTGCACCCTCACGATGCGGCAACTCCCTGCGCACGATCGCGGATGGCATTCATAAACGTTGTTGTCTTTGCATCAAGTGCCAAAATCAGCAAACAGATTGATATTTTGCGTTAAGTGTGGCAAGTTCGTCACTGAGTTTCGTCTCCGCAAGGGCTCATCTTCCTCACCCGGCAGTGGCTGCCCTTCCTATCCACACAGACTTTTGGCTTGTTGCAGGGGTTGGCATCGGCATACATCGGACGGGTCGTTTTCCAGAACCGAGCCACATGGTATGAGCAAGCAGTGGCCTTGGAACATGTTGGAAGTTGGAACAATGGACACAATGAAACATGCACCGAAGTAGCAGGCGCAATCGAACCGAGCATGTACGCTAGCGGCTGGATGTTGGTGCGGACGAAGATTATAAGACCTCCATTGGGATTTACGGAAGGTGACTCCTGCAAGCAGGGATATCTCCTCTGATCCTGGTGGTGGTTCTCATCCAGCGAAAGCTGTCTCGAACCCCGAGAGGAGCTACTTCGGTTCATGTTGGCCAAGAAACTTCCAACTTCCAAACAACAGGGAAGCAGGGCATTGGCCCATTGGGCCATTGGGCTTGTCGTGTCCGTTGCATCTGCTCTGGACTTCCGAAATCCTCTCTGGTCAAAGAAAAAGAAGCAAAGGCCAAATCCTAGAGCTCAACATCAGGCAGTTTCTGCAGGCTGTCGTTCATTTTCGTTTGCAGCGTGTCCCTTTCGTTGATAGATGACGCCTTCCTTCTGAAATCGTAGTTGATGTCGCAGTTGCGCAGATAAGAGAAACATTTGCCTTTGAGATCCTTTGTTGCAACTGAAGTCGGTTCACTCCTTGTACAAGTCGTTTGGGATCTGAAGTTGCTTCCGGCTTAGAACTTGTTTTATGTTTAATCTTACTTTGCGCTCCATCATATTGCATGTTGCTTCGCAAAACAACTGCATGTCAAGAATGTCATCAGCCTGACCTGGTTTCGTGTGTCCTGGTTCACCATGGGATCTGCAGTTGAAGCAGCTCGTAGCGCCTGGCTGCCCGAGTACATATTGACCTGGTCTATTCGGAAAGTTACGTCATCTAAATCCTTAGTCTAGCGTTTGACATGGCTCTTTGCTGACATGGTGCTTTAGAGTTACGTATTGATATGTCGACGGCGACCTGGTCTCGTATTTGACGATTCTAAACTTGTTAAACTGCTGTAGACCGTCGTGAAAATCTGACTTGTGGCGCCGTTAGCATTTCTCATCTTCGCTCTGGGGGCTCGGGATTCTGGTATCGTGTCAGCTGTTTGAGCATTGGCTCTGGGTATGGGATTGGCTAATTCAGGGATTGGCATTCTTGCGCGTCCCGGATTTCCGTGCACAGGGTGCAGGGCGTGCTTGTCTTGAGGCTGTCGGTTGCGCCTCGGCAACCAGTCTCACCGTAGCCAGCTTTTTCCGCGGATTGCCGGGGATTGCAGGGCGTGTTGATTGATCTATAGGATGAATGTTGACTTGTGAAGGTCAAAGAAATCACGTGCTTCGTTTACTCTGCGAGCACCCCGATCTTGGCATGCCTGGCTCCCGCGGTCCACCATGTCGCCATTGAACAAATACCTCGTGTTTGACGTCTCACAGTGGATGGATGCCACCCCGACAATGAATGCAGCAAGCACAGTGAAGCCAGCTGCACCTGTTCTGAGCACTTGGTGGGCCGAGATGATAGAGAATGTGCAGCACCTGAGATGTGCTTTGAAAGACCACGTCTTGCAAGGAAGAAATGACATGCACTTAGCTTCTGCTTGCACGATCTTGCCTGAGCACAATGCTCGAACGGTCAGGACTCGATAGCACCCTATGTGCGGCTGGAAATGTCTGATTTCTTGGGGTTTCACGTCGCGAACATTGATAACCCCTCGTCTGACGAGCAAAGATATTGACAAAGGAAATATGGTATGTCGCACGTCTGTGAGATTGGCGATGGCATAGGGCTCACGAAGAACCACGAACCTTTTTGCCTAGCTCTAATATCACGAACTCGAACTGGTGCCTGTTGTTGTCGCTCTTTCTTGCGATGATGCTTGCCCATGTTGAGCATGCTAGAAGATGCTCGTGTTGGACATGGGCTCGCTGCCGTCAGCTTGTCTATGTCACTTATACACATTACTTCCGGTTGGCACATTCCGTCCGAGAATGTGAAAACTTCGTTTCATGACATGATCTCTTTCTGACTCACGATCAACATTTTGACAAAAAGCAGCTCCCAGATCCTTGCAGCTTGTGGTCGTACCAGATGTTCGAGCACAAGACTGTCTGTTCTCAGAGAGCTTGACCTGAAACGCAAATTGAATTCTGAGATACCGACATCGGCAAGCTGACCATGCGTGTCACCAACGATGATTAACCTTCTGAGCAGGCTGCTAAGACTTGTTATCGGAATCACGCGATGTATTCACAACTGCCTCCCGTCTGGTTGCGGGACGTCGGTGTAGACCACAGGTTTAGGATGTCGAACCGAGTACGCCGACACGAACTGGGTAATGATGTGCGTCACATGCCTTGCAGTTGTTGGCAACTCGCAGCTGAAACCTGCAAGACCCCACAGCACGTTTGCGTGCTCGGTGGCAGACTTGGCATGAAGAGGACTCTTGGCGCCAGAATGTAAGAAGTGATCTTGGTCAGGCAGATTAACTTGATGCAGTGGCAGCCTCAAGACCCTGAAACCAGCCTAACAGCTGTCGCGCACCGTCGTGTGTCATTGGCAGTTGAATCCTCGCCCAAGCACAGAGAATGAGAAGCGAGATGTACAGGGTTGCCGGAAGCAAACTTGCCTGTGGCCAACCCAATCGGATGGAACTCCGAGATCATCGCAGGCTGCCTGAATCAGGGACAATCAGATCATCAGGGAATACATCAGAACATCAGTGAAAAGAGAACGTGATGACGGCCTTCTGCGCAGTTCGTTTTCGCTGTCGCGGTTTCTTGTCCTTTGACCCGGCTTGCCGTAGGTACTCGGTCACGTTGTGACCCATCTGGGCCTGAGCCAATCGGTGCGTGGAAACTGCCAGGCTGAGACTGCAGCAGGCTGCAGGCTGCAAGGATGACCCCAAGTCAAGAGCTGATTCTACGAAGCTCGCTTCATCCTGTGTCTCGGTATTCAGGAGCCTTGGAAGGCAAATCTAGACCAGAATGCAAGGAAATCCGAAAGCGCCGGAGCTTTGGGCTGCTGGCCGCTCAAAGGAGGCGGCGCCTTTGGCACCCATACCTGGAAGTTCTGTGCCTATGTCCTGTGCTTCGCGAAGACTCCGCTACGCACCTTTCAGCGCTGTTCCATTCAGGATCCATGATAGAAACTCTTTCCAGTCCACACCTCAAGCAGGAGCCATACTGGCGATGGTTGGACAACGCCATAAGTTGCAGAACATGATGGCGGTTACTTCGTCAGCACCGCACTGTTTGAGCCATCAGTGTCAGCTTCTTTGAACAGACGCTTTATCTCCTCGCCAAGGACAATCTTCAAACAAAATTCATGTCCATCGAGCGCTCTGGCTCTGTGGCGGCTAGAGCATTAATGGAATGTGAGTAATTGCTTTGCGTATTTGTGTTCGATGCGCAGGCGGAGCTAGAAAGCAAACCCTCCCACCACGAACCACCTACCCGTGCTGGGCACCGGGTATCGTAGCCCAAACAAGGCGAAGTCATTGAGCCATGGTGGTCACAGCATGGGCCGAACCTTCAGCGCTTCACGCCGCCAATTTTCACATGATACGAGAGGGCTGAGTGCAACTCTGCATGTTCGATTTAGATGTACATAATTGTATTGACATGCATGCGTGTCTGCAAACAAGCAAGCCGATGCACCTGTGCGTGTATGAATACATGTCTATACAAAGGTTAGGACCCATGGCCTGCCGATTTTGCTAAATGTTTTTTAGGCAAGGGCGGGATTTACGTACGTATGCCCCATATCTGTACTTAATCCCTTCGAGGGGGGGGTTACTCGTGGAAGTGGTTCGGTGTTCCTGGTTGAATCATCGTCGCTGTGCACCCGACCCGAAGAGTTCACACGACAAACAACACAGGCATGAGTATGTCACTGCAGAGCATGCTCCTCATCATCATGATCAACATCAAGAAGCATCAGATAGCATCAGCTGCAGCATCGTGTTGTCAACAACATCCCTATCAACATCGTCATGACCGTCGTGAGCAATGATCTCTTCACAGTCCTCTATCGCTTTGTTTGGTCGGCGAGCAGTTGCTAAAGAGCCCTTCGACACTCGGTTCGTCATCGTCTCCTGCTTCTCATCATCCTGATTCGCCGCAGTCTTCCCATCCAATATTTCGTTTTCTCAGTGCGGTCACAATTCGCACCGGTACACACCTCGTGTGTCGTCATCATGATCATCAACCCCTTCTTCATACCATGGGCATGGAAGTCCTGTTCCCGCTACAATGAGGAAAGCACGGTCCCCAGCCCAGTCAGCTTTACGTTCCCACTCCTTCGGGGTGAAGTCAGCAAGACTGGACATCAGCTTTTTGAACTCATCAGCCTCACGAGCAATCAATGCGCAGCTGCGTCGAACCAAGCCGAAGCCCGGTGCGTCGGGCCTGGATCCTGCCATCCCCGTTGCTATCAAACTTCGCGAAGCAGTCTCGCAGCTGAATCTCCTGCATCACTCGATCTGTCCGGGAAATACTTGTGAAGTGCGTCGCGACAGCTCGAAGACAGAATGAATGCAAAGGGAGGCTCCTGCGCGGACATATTCTCATCGCCGGCCATCGTCCTGGTCCTTGTTTGCCCAGGGCAATCATAAAGCTGATGGGGAATGGGGATTTTGCTGCAGTACATCTGAGTTCTCCACCCCAGCTTTTCTAGTTTTCAAGAAGCCACGAGCGGCGGAACATACCAAAGCTACTTATCGCCACACGAGACTATGCGATCTTATATAAACAGGACTGGGAAAGATGTGCTCCTATCCAGCTACTCTCGGTCTGCAGTGCAGCCCGGTTCGTACTGCTTTTCTAGGATTTCTCCTCATTTGCCGTGCGTGTACCATGGCCGCTGAGAAACTGCTGCGTGGATGCATAATCATGTCGAGCAAGAAGCCAAACGGAAGGGAACAGGAAGTCGGAAATAGAGTCAGACAATGCAGAATTTTGATCTACAACCAAGCGCGTGAGAGCAGTCCTGGAGCCAGATGTCCGTCTGCATTTAAGAAGCGAGTTAAGACAACCTGTTGCTTTGTCGGACACTTTCCAGGCTGCCCTCAGTGCATGCCCGAGTTGGAACTGCTACGGCGTCCTAGCTGGCCTATAGAAGCTGCGACCAAGTGGGGCCTAGTTTGCCATGAAACTCTCTGCCAGCAATTTCAACTCTCTGACGAGTCGTTGGAGTCGCCAGAGTTGCGGCGACTGTCCGTGCCATCTCTTTTCCATAGAGAGAGACAGAGCGAGCAAAAGAGAAAAGGAGACGGGAACCCAGGGAGAGAGGGCAAAACAGATCGCGGCAACATGCATGCAAGCAAAAGCAAGCCGTTTCAGCAGGCAACCAGGTACCGTACAAGCTCCGGCTGCGGCTGTCGAAAGTTGACGTCTGACTCGGTGGAGCATAACAGGACATAAAAGGACTGTCTGAGCGAGTTGTGGTGCCAACGATCTGCCTCAGGGCCGCGGACCACTCCGGCTGAACACGCCACTCATACATCCGATCCGACCCAGTTCGCTGCAGCAGGAGAGTAGGTGCAGGTTCGTGGTCCTGAGTCCTGAGCTTCCATACACACGCACTCCCGACTCACGAGCCAAAACGTCACCTGCACCGGACGCGTTCCCGTGACGCAACAGCACGATGCCCCGGTTTTGTTGAGGATCCATGTGACTGGGACCAAGTTGGCCAACCGAAAACAGTGCGCTTGCACGCTGCGCTTTCGTCGACGGCTCCGGGACGACTCTTCGGCTCGTCATTCTCAAGCTGTGACATGAAGCTGTCTGCTCTGCACTGACATGTAGGCAGGAATTATCATCCGTTTCAAGATGCACCATGCGAGACAAAGTGGATGCTATCATCTGCAACAGAAATCAGAAAGCAAAAAGCCACACCGTCCATTTTGACTTCGCCCCTGCGAGGTGTGGATAGCCGGTTCGCATGGGACGACTTCGAGTGGTCGAGGTGCTCGCCTCACTCAACATTGATGCCAATGAAAAACCGAAGATGACTGAAGGGCATGGCGGGTACATGCACAAAACACCATTCGTTCCAGTATGAGGACCACACGCATCGGCAGGACGTGCTCTCGTCGTTGCAGATGGGACGAGTTCTTGGGCCTCTTGTCATGTGCGCAAGCGTGCTTTTTGCACACGGCTTCGGAACCCCTTCAGTCAATACCTTGAGGCTGCATCAGCCTCATGGTTGCTCAGGGCCAATCAAGAACTCACTGGGTGCGCAGCGGGTTGGCTGCACACCTCTCGAGCAGTCTCGCTAGGTTGGGGCAACCTGCAGCGGTGGAGACACAACTACGCTGGACAGCGCCGCTTGATGGCAACCTAACCCTCACCTAAACCTCCAACTTGCGGCCTGATGTTACAAGGACAACGTTCTTACGCGGACAGCGTGGAGATTTCAACCGCGAGCTGTCGGCAACGACTTTAGGAAATGACATGAATAGCACAAGCAAAATCATAAGAAGACGCTCAGGAACACGATCGCGCCTGCTCCGGGTCAACTCTTTCGCCTTGGATTACAAGCCCGGGACCGCAGCAGCTCGCGGGTGCTCCGCTTTGTCCACCCACCGCTATGCCCACCACTATTTCCACACATGTGCATGGAAGGCCTGCATTTGACTGCATACTGTTAGATCAAGTGATGGCTCTCTGCACTCTTTTCCCACTTCCCTGTTGGTTACGTGCGAGACGGTCACCATGTTGCCTTTAGCATGTGAACGTGCAAGGACACGCCATCTTCCGTTTGTTGAACGAGAAAATCATAGCGGACCAATGGCGCATAAACTTCATGTTTGGACCAGCCAACACGAAACCCAACGACGTTGATGCTGGTTTGGCTTTGAAAGCTGTGGCTGCAATTCCTCGCTAGCTGTACCTCGAAACTCGCTGTTGGATGCTGGCATTTACCAGAACATCTACATACCCAACATTGGGTTTGGGGGAGGTGCCGCCGATTCCTGTAAGTTTGCCCCAACTTGCCGGCGATGCATCCGATCGGTCCTCGCATCTCTCGATGATCCCGCTGGGGAGTTTGTCAAGCGCGCTCGTTGAATTCAACACGGAGCTTTCATGTCAAGCTTGGTGGACTCTGGGTGCCTTCCATAATGTAACTGAACAAAGGCAGCATTTGCAAACCGTGAACCGAAAGTCGTCTCGTCTTCTGCATACACACGCAACCATTCATGCACTCATTCCTCCACAATGTTGACTCGTAACTTGCCTCTGAGGGTGGTCTGCGCCTACTAGTAGGTAGATCGGGCTCGGGGATTCGGCCGTGTTCTGGACCGTTTGACTGCAGTGAGAAGTCCACGCCTGTGTCACTGAAGCGGATGTGTTTGCAAAGTCTTCTCATTCCCCCTTTGCTAAGACTTCAGGCGCGTCGAGCCCCGAACATCCGAAAACCCCATGTAACTAAGACGAATCCATGAAGACACCACTCCGAGCCCTGGCGGAACAACATCCCTGTTCGGAAATTCCGCTGGCTTAACAGTATACTTGCTTGCACCTGCCGTGCATGGCACTAGTAACAGTAGGGTCTGTTGGATTGATCACAACTCGTCGCGCGGCACACAGCCAACCTTTCCTGGAGTATACAATCATAGTACAGCTTAGAGTCAGGATACTGGTAAGGAGTGTAGCAGGGATTGTGCAGGTTGTAGAACCCTGATTGGTCGAACTTGTACGATTCGTTGAGTAATTTAGCGAGACGGTGTAAGTTGACGTTTTACCGGCTGCATTGTGCAGCGGTTCACAAGTGCCTGGGGAATGAACCTCATAAAGGTTTCATGATTCGTCGCTTAAGGGTGGCATTTGGCATGCTTGGCAGGATGACACGGACAACAAGTTCTTGACACGGCCGTTTGGAATCGCAGAGCGGCACTTGCAGAAATCATCTTGAACAGCTTGGACTTTTAACAAGAACCCTGTATGTGGGCATTGTGGATGCCAGAGCTTCACAGGACCTCCCATTTTGCGTTCGACGTGACAACGATATCGGACATGAGCATGTCGGACTTCAATCACCTGAAACACCTTGCCTGAGACGTCTGTAGCCAGTCGAGCTATCTATTTTTGTTCGACAGTGTCCTTACCCTCTCTCTCGTACTCGGGCGCTTTCTGTTGCACAGGACCTTCCGCAAGAAGGTAGACGACGATGTTCTCCAGCTCTGGATTTGAAGACATCGACTCGTCACCGCACTCGGCAAACATCTGCATCAGTTTTCGACACTGCGACTTTTTGCACCTGGATGGTATGCCTCCTGGAGCAGCCCAGCGGATGAAATGTGTGAAGGATGAGTGCGAGTGGCACATGAAGCAGGCGGCAAATCAACAGACACTTGAAGCATAAGGTGTTATCGATGTTTGTGAACATGTCGCAGGTTGAGTGCAGGGCCCCATGCAAGGTCAACACGCAATTGCTTCCGTGAACCATCAATGGCCAGTTGAACGTGGCTCAAGCGTGTATGAAGAGCACAGCGAAGATTGTGCACCGTTGTGAAAGGGTCATGGGGATGTTGGGGTAGTTAGTGGGGAGTGTGGGGGAGTGAAGAGGACTGGAGGCCCAGACGGAAAGCCGTATGATTATCTAGACGATGTACCCGCGCCCCTGAACCGAGCGACGCTCTGGGCAAGGTGTTGCATCCACTTGATCTTTCCGCTGGCCAATGGGCCATGAAATCCGCAGACACGGGGGCTAAGGTCTGTTTTGCACATTTATGGGCGACGGACTTGCTGTAGGGGAAGAGGAGGTGCTGCGTAGGATCACAGCTGCTGTAGACCAGAAGTGGAAGATCCAAGCACAAGGTTTCTTGCCAGGAAGTGAAATCAGTCGTCACTCGATTGCTGCCGGCAGTGTATCAGTTGATTGGAACCAGTGCATGAACTTCAATTCGTGGGGATGCGGAGCGGCATGAACGCTGATGGGCATGTGTGACAGAAGTACACCGCACAAGAACTGAAGGCACGTGGATGGTTGTGTCGGATGTATCAGGCCCTATCTTCTCCGTCCCAACCACAACATCACCAAGCTGATATCCAACAATCGACAAGCAAACAGAATCGGTCGTTGCTTTGCTTCGGGATATGAGGGGTTGGCAGTCCTACCCCCCACTCCAGGAGCAACCCCATCCCAGAGGATCGGTCTCTCCCTGTCTCTTCTTCGCCAGGGCATGAGGGGCTTGTCTCTCTCTCTCTCTCTCTTTCTCTCTCTCTCTCTCTCTCTCTCTCTCTCTCTCTCTCTCTCTCTCTCTCTCTCTCTCTCTCTCTCTCTCTCTCTCTCTCTCTCTCTCTCTCTCTCTCTCTGTCCAGCTGAGTCAGCGGCTTGGGAACCCACTGGGAACTATCATCCTTGTCTCTCCTGGCGGGTTCTCGAAATCACAGCGGGCAAGCGGGACTACTAAGCTTCACAACAACAACGCAATGCAGGCAACGCAGGATAACGGATTGACTCTGCTCCTTCGCCGAGACTTCTCAGGCTCCTGCGATGGGTTCAGTTTCCAGGGCACAGCCGTGCAGAGGCGAAGAACATTGGCCTTCGCTTCTTCCTTTTCTTTCCACTTGCCATGAGACCTGATGTAAGTCGCACCGGGGACTTCAATCAAAGTGTCGGGTGCATCGCGGTCGTTTCAAAATGCTGAACAGAATCTGTCCATATTTTGCGTCGAGCCTGCGCTTGGAAGAAGTTTCCTTGGGCTTGGACCTGAGTTGAGCTTGTCACGCACAAGACACGAAGGCCACTGATGCCTGTCAGTCTGAAACATCAGCCAAGCAAACAGACGTGTTCTTGTCAACGCTGGCTATTGCTTTGCCAGCCCAGGTGAGCCTGGTATGGGGCCCCCACGACTCTTCCCACCACTCTTCGGACTCCTTGGCTTTTGACCTCAACATGAACTTCAATTGTGATTGCAGTACCATTTAAGCGCACCGAGGCACCTCTTAGATTTTGCTTTGCCCTCCTGCTCGCCCCAGTAGTCCTCCGAAGCAGACTGCACGCATTCAGGGATGTCAGCGCGATGTGCTCGTAATGGCCTCTTCGTGCCAGTGGCAAGCACCATACTCATCCTCGTCCTGCTGAAACGTGCTGAGAAACTGCAGCAGCACTGGCGCTCACAGGCTTGCCTTCGATTTCTTTTTCTTCTTCTTTTTCTTGGGCTCCTGGCAGTGCAGCAGTCATGTAAGCAATGGTGAGTGCAGCAACTTGCTGTCTCAGCTCTTAGGCGCGAGGTTCCTCAGATGCTTCTGCATCGTACCAGGCCCAGTCGTCCTTAGCAGCTCGCAGCGATCGCTCTTGATCATGAAAGTGTCGGACTCGTGCTGCATCCAAGTTTCTCCTTGCTCAGAGCTGTGCCAGCCACTGCAGGGTGGCGGCGAAATAAGCACGCTTTTTTGGTACATCACTTGCTCTGTAGATGCACTGGCAAGTGACATGTGACATGTTCAAGCAACAGACCGTCTCTGAGCTGACATCTCCCGGCGCCTGGCGTGGTCATGCCACTCTTCTTCGTACGCTTCATGTTTCTTTTTCTTCTTTTTCTTTTTGCTGCTCGGCTCCTTAAACACAGAAAACAAGGTCACATGTTCTGACAGATGCTACATGATATTACATGGTTACAGCCTTTTCATTTGATGCATCGTGCACATCGAAACAATAGCTGCCTGCTAAACTCGCAGTCCCGGCAAGCTTCTTCCGGAGTGCTGCAGACACAGAGGTTTTAACTTCATCTGAGTGTGCAGTTGAGATGAGGATGTCAAGCAAAACATCGCTGCTCCTCGTACCAATCCTCCTCCTCTTCTTCTTCTGCATATTCCTGTGCAAACGCCACATCCTTCTGCTTGCTGTTGCACATGCTCTTTCTTTGGTGCGATCGCCTCGGCCTTCTTTGACTTCTTCTTTTTCTTCTTCTGCTTGTACTCCTTGCTACTGCACACCGTTATTCAAATGGCAACAGCACAGGTCGAATAGGCTGCTTGCCTGAGCTTCCCAGATCTCCCAGCAGTACGTGCAGTAGAAGGTTCCTCTGGAAGCAAAGGCATCAGGGCATGCCGGGGTGCAGATCAGCTGCCTCTTGAATCTGGATCTTCTTCCAAATGCTTCACGGTGCCGCACCTTCAGAAGGATACAGAGATTCCTTCAGAATTCGCTGGAAGCAATGATTGCATGCATCCTTTTGGAGGAAAGTTGTATGTGCGTGGAATCCGAATGAACAAGTCTCGCACTGGCAGCAACGCAGAAAACGTCAGTCCCGACAAAACCCATAAGTAAATCGAGATGAACTAATTTGGGCGCTCCTGCGCTCTGTGCTGAGAAGTCGGCTCCGCGCACCGCCATCGGGGCTTTTCGTCTATTCGACCCAGTCGGTCGTCTGGCCGAAAGCATGTTGCAAAACTGCGCAAGACTTCAACTCATAAGGCGCAGCTCTCTCGTGAAAGGCAAGCAAGCTACCACGTGTGCTTAACGCTCAGTGCAGGACGCCATCTCTTGCGTTCCCTTTCACCTGAGTGAAACTGAAGCAGCTTCAGTTCAACGAGCACCACATTCACTTCCATACCGTAGCACCCAGTGCAGCACCCAGTAGAACTGCATCACATCACCCAAACTGCCACAAGTGCAGCAAAGAGGCGTTTCTCTTGACGAGCTCTTCTCTCAGCAGCCCTGCCGCCATGTCCGTGTTATGACAGCTGCAAGCAAGTCGAGGCTGGGAGCACAGCATCGCAGCAGGCCTGGTCTTCATGTAATTTAACAATGGGGTGTCCTGTCGTCACGACATGTTCTAAGGATTCCTCCAGACTAGTGTGCCCACCTTCTTGCTCGAAGGTTGCAGCTCCGAAACTGGATCTGGCGGAGCCTACGGAATGTGAATTATGTCTTCCAATGTTCCCCATGCAACAACTCGCCTCGAATGTCTTCGGGACTGCCAATCCGTCCAAAAACCTTTCAACATCAGGGGAAGCAGTGGCCATCCGAATCCGTGGCCAAAACAAAGGTCGACGAGCCAAAGGCTGCTTGTAGATAGCATCTTCAAAGATAGTTCCGTCACGGGCATCCTGATGTGGAGCTGGTTACTGGGGTTCGCGTTGGTCACGCCACAAACCAGGCAAAGCGTTTTCGTACGGAGCACCTTCGTCACCTTCTGGCGGGGAACCTTGTCTCGTGTGAATGCCACTGATTGCAGCAATCATACATAGTCGTGTTGATACCGCGTCAGCAGACCCCCCCCCCGAAAATTTATGAATCCGATCTCAGTGTAAACTGTATAAACTTGCCAACTTGTCCGTAATCTCAGGCTGCAGCTTTGGCATACGGAGCAAAGCAAGCGACAGCACGAAAGCTTTCCCCTTGCCCGTCGACAAACTGGTGCCCATGGTAATCCTCGGCACGTCAACCGTATGCCACGCACTCTAAGCCTCTAAGCAAAACAAACACGAACTCGGGTGGTTTTGCTTTGTGGTCCTTGATGAACTTATCAGCGCTGTCCTCCTGGTCGAAAAGGAAATAGCAGCCTGGGTGTCGTTGCAAGCATCACAGAATCAGAGGAGGGCAGGGATGCAAATGTCGGAAAAATGAGCGCAGACATGCAGCTAGATCGAACGACGAAGAGACAAAAACGGACAGAAATCGAGAGCCGATAGTGGGGCGGCAATCAGGTGACAAGACAAACGCAGAAGGAAAAACGACATGCAAGCGGCAACACCAGCACACAGACACCACGTGACCGTTTGGCCACATGCATCCGGAAGTTGTATCAACTGTTCTGCTTCATGAAAGCAGCGGGCGCATGCTGCACGACCACGCAGGCGAGGCCAGGTAACATGCTCCTGTATGCTGTCATGCATCTCGCCTTGCAGTCACGAAGCGCATCCAACAACTGTGGCAAATTTCTGGTCGGTTGAGTCACGAAAGGCTGGCAAGTTCAAGTTCCAACTTCAGCTGGTGCAGTTGTTGAGGTACGAAATGCGGTCCCAGCTACTCAGCGTCAGCAAGGCATGTGCCAGGGAATGGTCCCCAATGACGTGAACCAAAAGTGGCCATCCTGTAAAGTGGGCCCGACTTTACTCTTCGTTTTTCTTGGTAGGCAGCTTCATTCGCTTGCCTTCACCTTGCTCGTCGCACTCACAGTCCATCGAATCATGTTGCTTTGGGGTACACTGTTGGATCTTTGCAGATGCTTCGAAGCGCCCACGAATGATGCCGCGACACGAAACGGTGGATATCATAATGTGTCGTACTAACATGGACGTTTTGCTCTGCTACTTGTAGCTCGGCAAAGCTACGAGAATGAACTCTCACGCTGGCTTGAATTTGGTTGCTTCTTTGTGCCAAAGTAAACCCCAGAGCCCTAAACCCCGAACATACCCTCGGCCAGTGAGGCCGGGTCCTGGAACAATCAATCATTACAGCCATTACCCCTAAAACCGGGACTGACTATACTGAACTGAATTGGTTGCTTCCAGCAGTTAATGCAGACCATTCCAGTCCCACGCCATGCATCGGCGTGTTGTCGCAACACACACCATATCTGAATATTCCATGCAACCCCGGCTCCCACAAGTGCTGAAGTCTCACTTTCGCCTCAACCCGAGACCCCAAAACATCCCTGAACCCCGAACCCTAAACCTTAAACTCCAATAACATCCAACAACCAGCTACAAACCTCAGGCGTGCCTTAAGGCCTTCAGCCTAAGCCCCAAGCATCCCTCGACCCTAATCCCAAGCATCCCGTAACCCTCACAATCATGCCTTCTTTTCCATGACATTCCCCCACTCTGCTCGGATGTTCTTTCGTATTCTGGGCTTATTTCGGTCCTGTGATGGTGATTGGGGCCGTTTCGTACCCTCTTGTGGGCCACGGTGGGCCCCACAAACTTACAAACTAGGGGACTCGTGCCGTCACGGGGGTGTCAGGTGCGAGCAACTGGCACGGCATTACAATTCAAGGATTGAATATGGTCACGGAACCATGCTAGTCCCTCGCTCTCTTCAACTGGTGGGAGCCCACCATCCCAGTCCCTTGCAGACTGAGGGTATCCCCTATTCTAAAGCCGCTGGCCCTCAACCCCTGCCGCACAAAAATACAAGTCAAAACACAATCAGCGTGAAACAGCTCGGAGGCAACACTAAGCAAAATAAGCCACCCGAAGCACCGAAACCGTTAAGAAAAAACATAAAGCTGAGACAGCCCAAGACCCAACCAAGCAACATGCATTACCCCACGTGCCCCTTCGAAAATGAGCCCTACGTCGCCTTCACCTCCCAAACCGGCATACCCCTGCTCGCTTGACCAACCCTGGAAGCCCACCCTTTAGGCTTCGCACTTCTTCCATTTAGTTCAAGAGTTCCAAAAGGTCTAATTTTGGGCTTGGAGTGCTAAGCTCAGCAAAAGTTCCCGTACAACAAATGTCTAGGGATGCCAACATGATACGCCCTCTGGCTGACCCGGCCAAAGTTAACCATGCCTGATAATGTCTTCGTCGGGAACTGACCGTCAGGCATTGCCCACTTTGTGGAAAATCTACCATCTCGTCCGGCGGATGGCTTCAGATTGTCTAGTTGTCAGCATGTCCGAGGTGCAGACACACAGCCGCAGCGCACCGGGACAACAACGGTGATAAAGAGGAAGTGCAAAAAGAGACAATGAAAAGGCAAGCACGAGAGAAAGAGAGTGACAGACAGAGACAGCGAGGGCTGGGAAATGACAGGACGGTGAAGAAGCATTAAGTGCCACATACATTGGAGCTATCCTCGAATCCACGAGGCACCCACGAGCATTCACCGACGCTTTAGCCTCGCCTCGATAACGTTTCCCAGCCTGGGCGTCCGTAACGAAAACCCAACTCCCCCTGCAAATCGACACCGCCTGGAAGCTTCGCCATTTAGTCCGCTTCAGATGCGCTTCAGGAACCGTGGCCTGGACGTTCCGCAGATAAGTCGTGGCTGTGTATGACTACTGCTCAGGGCACGGCGATGAGTTCTTCTTCCGTAATTTCGGGTGGCAGGAGTCTCACAACGACCTGCCGCAAGTATCACATGTCTTGCACAGTTTTGCAAGTGGTCCCATGAGCTCCTTGAGGGCTTCTTTCGCCATGAGCAGCCGCGCTGTCGGACCCCAAGCACAGCAGTGAAGGGCGGAAGGGGCTGAACGTGCTGTCGTTCCGGCTGCAGTTGAGGAATGACTGCTCTTTCATCCGTCTCTGTTTTCTTGCACCAGTCGCATCTCGCAAGCTGGGGCTCTAGATCGTTGTTCTCGTGAGTTCTCATGAGCCCTCTTGAGCAGGTGATGGGGCGCCAGGGTGAAAGCCACTTGTCAGTCCCTCAAATCCTGCCCTGTGCCCAAACACACAGAAAGACACACGCACATGTGTACGTAGTCGAAACACGACCATCCATGGAAGCATGTAAACTTTTGGCCGCCATGGAGACTGGTACACGGTTGAGAGCGTCGATTTCAACATCGCAGGTCACGATGCGGAACTTTCCACAAAAAACACTCATTTATGATAGCAAAGAACGTGAAAGTCTTATGCATTAAAACCATGCCACAAACATGGTGGCCTGCTCCCAGCCCAGCAGCTCCGTCTTGAGGATTCAAATGGAACAAGTTGGACTGGAATCATTTGCAGGCCGCTTGGAAAAACCTCGTTAGCACGATGTGGTATGGTGCGGTTCTGGGACTGTGACCAATCTCTGCTAGCTATCTGCGTTCCTATGGTCGGCTTGCATGGCGCCACGCACTTAGGCGTTTCAATGGCACTCCAGGCCAGGGCCTTTTGCAGGATTTAACTAGTCGAACCTTCAGCCAGGCTGTCACACGAGGCAACGGCAGAGAAACTGCTCTGATGCTTCCTTGCCGAAACGTATCTTGGCTGTTGCCCCGTCGCATCCTGCCCACGCAACACGGATGAACATCTCGGACACGTGTTTGCTTTCTGACAGCAAAGCCAGAGCAATGCTGTCTGACGGCAGGGACTGTCGAATTGGGAGGAATAAGTTGCGCATGATGTGTGCCTCATGCCCAAGTGTGGATTGCTTTGCCAGGGACCTGGTTTGCCTCTGTCATGAGTACGAGAACTTGTCGACTTCAAAACTATGCAAGCACACAAACGCGGCAAGGAAAACGTTGAGATTCAACGCACCTTGCCTGTACGGGCAAGGCAAACCTAGATGACACTTTCCGGTTCTCGTCCGGTTCTTGTGCAGTTTCTGCACGGCAGCATGCAAAGAATGTCTGCTCAGTGCACCTGGCTGCCCTGGCTAATGCATCCTGCCGCCGCAGATTGGGCGAGTGCGAGGTATCTTAAAAGTGCCCAACGAAAAAGGGACAGAGAGAGACAAGAGAGAGAGAGAGAGGGAGAGAGAGAAAAGTGGACGAATGCGGTGGCATTGTACCGCAGCAGTGGACACTGCAACTCACCAACACACACACACACATGTTCTTCTGGCACTTGGATGGTTGCACTGTACCTTCACATAAATGTAGAAAAACTGTATACGAAAAAAAACTTGTGCTTCATAGCTACATGCACATGCTAAACAAGCAAGCCTAGAATCACCGCTGGCAATCTCCTTCAAAGCGGAACTTTGCTCCATGCTCCGGAAGATAGCCTGCTTCGAGGCTTGGGCAATATAGGCTTTAAGGCCTGTCCAAAGACCTGCGCAGCGCACGGCAAAGAGACTGGGAACTAGTGGGCGTGCATTCGCTGCCCCCTGTGGTCTATGGTGGAGGTCTGGAGCAATCTTTTGCCTCTGCACCCCTCTTAATGTCCGTGATCGGTACCAGTAAGTGCATTTAGTGCATGGCTGAGCTTGAGCTGCTTTACAGACGGTTCCCGGTCGCACCAACATCACCAGCAGATCTTCGCGCAGCTGACGAAGGCGCTCAGGCGCAAAGCTCCGGATTGAAAAACAGGAAAGCGCACAAGATCTTGCGTTGCTAGCTTCGGAATCAACAACACTGCCTGTCCGCCGGAGAGTTTGCATTCACGAGCTCAGCATGGCTTCAAAGGGCTGCCACTAAGGCAGCCCTTTTTGTGAGGGGCCATGCACTAGGGACACTTTCGGATCAGACCCAGCCTCCGGTCCCATCCTTTCTCCGTAAACACCATGTTCTTCAATCATTATCAGACTCGTCAGACCAGACAAGGTGCACCACGGCCAGGACAGCAGAGTCCAGGACATTGCCAGAGCCCGGTTTCGACGAGGCATGACGCACTTACGAGATGCGCACGCTGCAGCTGGATCACTTGCGAAAGGTCTCTCGGTGCACTCATGACTCATGAGCGGTTCAATAGCCACATCGGGACCGGGCACTTCTCCGCCGGCCGAAGCAAACACTGAACAGCCAAGGCCTTTCTCGAAAGACGCGAAAGATGGATATCAAAGTCGGAGTGAATGGAATGTACGTAAACTGCTCGTCTGCATCACACTGCAATCTGGGAAGGGCTGCTGCAAACAGTGTTTGACTTTCGCTATTTACGTGCTACGCTCGTGGTTCAAACTCCACCTGCTGGCATTGCCAGGTCGCGATATGAACTCAGGCGTGTTGTAAGGTGCCTCAGCTAGACATACATGAACTACACGCAGGTACAAGGCATCGAAAATTGTTTGATCGATGCCAGACTTTGTTGGTGCGAGACATGGCTTTTGCCGCTCTGATGGCCCAGGTTAACTACGTCCTCACGCCGTTGGAGCAGATATGCTGTTCAAACTGAGGCGTGTGAGGGTGCTACACGTGCCTGAGTTTTTGTGCGCCCCTGATGTACATAGCCAAGAGTCGTGCTCTTCGCCTATTCTGCTGTGCCTTCCGAGGCGCTCTGTTGGAGCGACTAGAGGGAGAGATGGCCCAGGCCTTACAAGATCTCACATGACAGCGTCTAATCGCGTCTAGCATCGAGCCATTAGTCGCTCTCAAGTGTGGAAACCCAGACTCCCGCAGCCGGACCATGCTGTGCACATCACAGTTGCCGCCTCGCATCCAGTCCACAGGGTGCAAGCTTGCGAGCGCTGGACAAAATCCAAGACACATGACAGGGCACGTTCAATCTCAGCACTGCTCAGCACCCTGCATTGGAGTTTCTTCCTCTGTCGTGGCAGGGCTATTGACCTGGAGTCTCTGTTGGGTTCCGCAGCTTTCCGTAAAACTCCTGGCTCCGCTGGCTCCGCGCACCGGCCCGCCAGGCGGCTCCGACTGCAAAGACAGCGACAAAACAGTGCGCCTTGGGCTTGGAATGCTTGGAACCATGGCCGCTTCGGGGCTTGGGAGGACAAGCAAAACAGAGTCTGAGCTTCCGGGCCCAACCTGAATTGAGATAGCGCTGCTATGATCAAGTGGGCGTGGCTTTTTCATGGCCACAAGAGTACCTCAAAGCAAAGGCGCCCCATCCCAGGCTACCGTCGCCTAGCGGCCTCAAGGCCGCAGGGAAAAGATCTCCGCTTGGAGCGCTGCCGAATTTGGAGTTATGGTCTTCCAGCACGAAGCTGCCTGTGATCCAGAAAGAAGACTGGATACTTGGCACACTTGGCACAACCGTGGGAACCGGCAGGCCTTTCTGATAGCGAATTATGGCGTGACAGCGCGAGATCGACCTTCCATTTCCAGCATCTCCCGAAAGCAGCCCGAAAAATTCGGAAACCCGCGTAGGGAGCTCAGAATCAGACACATCTGCAATGCGCACATTGCTTTCGTGGCCTGCGGAAGTTGCATCCGCGGCAGGACACAATGCAAACGCAAGCGGCATTCATACACAGTGAACGCCTCCATCTACTTGCTTGACTTTGGCAACTTTGGCGGGAGGGACAGTGACAACAACTTTTTCACTCGGCATGCTATGTGCACATGCACGCGCCCCTACAAGCACATCTGGCAGGCTCGGCCTCTACCAAGCTTTAGGACCTTGTTCTCTGCAAGAGACACCTGAAAAGGGCGCCGAGGGCGTATTCAGGAGGCCGCGAACCCTTCCGACCGCTTCACTTAGGCCGATCACCACATGCAAACCGCGGCTGCTGTGCCTCGCAAGCCGAGCTCGCAAAAAGGGAATGCGTCTATCAATCTATTGCTCTCTTGCAGCGCTATGCCGCGAACTGCTGCGCATCACGCATCATGTTCTCGAGGACCTTGTGGCACGCACAAGCCGCACAAGGGGCACAGCAGCAGTGTTTCACTTGGGATCAAGCAATGAAGGGGGGCTTTGTCTTCGGGACCTCCACAAGAGGCATCTTGTCCTCTCCTTGGAGAAACGGAGCATATGCAACCGGCCAAGTATGCAAGCAAGACTGTGCACAACATCTCTACGTAGTTGTGAAGTGCTTGGGCTGTCGCCTTTGGTAACTGAGGCTGGATATGCGGCCTAACAATGACAAGACAGGAAGTGCATGAAGAAGCTCAAGGCAACACGAGTCACAGCATGATGGTTCCCTGCCTTGCACAGTTCACAAGGCAACGGCCTCAGAGGGCAAGACTGCAAGAACAATCCCTCTACAGGGCCAGAGTCCAACTGCGATAGGAGCACCCAGCCTGGTGCTCAGCGATGACACCAAGAACGGCAGGCATTACAATACTGCGGCAGGATGTACTGTCTTGGCATTGATGTCACTGAGCCGAGGGCCGATAGAAGTACGAGCCTTCTGGTGTATCCGCAATGTTCAGGCGTCCCTTGACCTCAACGTCTGGACATTGTGTCATTGTGTTAGCCGGTCGAGGTCGGTGTCCGTATGGCACTGACACAGTGTGCGGATGGGGGCTTCAGATAGAACTGGTGGCCCAGGTTGAAAGCCACAACAGCTCTACAGACAAAGAGCTCTCAGATCCCGGCCCAGTGGCGGAGGCATCCAAGATGGACATACTCAATCGACCCTCTGCAATTGCAAGGCCTGCGCGGAGGCTCAACGTTCACCGGTCACCATTGAGCCCATGTCACATGCCTGATGAGGGGGTCATCATCAGAGGATCCCTCCAGCAGGCAAATACGGCAAGACCTTGGCACGGCATGACCACAGTCCTGCACAGACTGGATCCAATTGCCTCTGACAACCACCCAAACCACCCATACTGCAAGCTGCCGACGTCGACGCCAGGCGGGTCTCATGATCCGACCTGCGGCTTGCACTCCGCTTGCTGCGCGCTGCAATGTAATACCTGGTGTCGAGTGCAGGATCTTGGGCCCTGGCTCTATGTCGCATGTGGACCCAGCAGAATCATCCAAATGCAGCTCCGGCTGGACCGCGGACTCAGTATAATCAGTCTTGTGGTAGAGAGGTTCGCATATCAGAAATTTTGCAAGTTCGGGCTCTCAAACCTTGACATACATGGTTCTGCTTGTCAAGCCAGAGGTGTAAGCTCTGATAGACAACACCAGCCGTCAATCAGCAGTCAGGTGCAGGCCGACTCAGATGCCACCATCTGCCGAACCTTGAACTTGAAGCGGCCAAGCCTAAGCGACGACAACATGCAATCAAGAACAAAAAGCCAGCAAACTCATGTGATCTGTTCATATCTTTTCTCTCGTATCACCTCCCCCTTAGGCAAGGGCTTAATCACGTCACTTTCTGACAGCCTTGGGCACATCCACGTGCTCGGCAATCGTGCTTGCATGCTGCGACTGTCTTCCACGTCAGTCCGAGAGAGCGGCTTATGTCCGGACGTAGCCAGATCCCGAACTACTACCCACAGTTTCTTGGAACTGTTGCTGGCGGGAGCTACCTGCTGGCAGCTGTGTGATGACTGCGCAGTAGTGCCAGGCTATGCCAGGCTGCACCGGCTGCGTGCCTTGTCCACCCAATAGCAGCCCTCTCGCTGAACTAGACGGAGCATAGGCTCCCCACCTGCTAGTGCAAAGCAGCTTCACATGCGGCACGGTCAGCAGTCGAACATACCATTAGTTCGCCATTGCTTCACCGCGGTTCGCTTCCTATCCCACATCGGGAACGATGAGACAATCACAAATAACCAAGCGGTGCTTGCCGCAACTACCACATCGGCAACAACTCCTACACACGTTCCCTCCGAAGACAGAAAGTGATAGCGGAAATCTATAGCGCAAGAGCGCCTTTCTGCTATGTGGACTCGAAACCAACCCGAAGAAAAATCCAACAAGCTAGAGGAGCGAACCAAAGGCCAACTTAGTTAAGCAGCATCGACAAAGACGTGTTGCAAAAAGACTGAACCAGCAGAATACGTGCGACAACGCGAAAACAAACACATGCACGGAAAGCCGGAAATCAGGACAATGGCAGTCAAGGTCAAATGCGAGTTGAGTTCTGATCTACGGCTAGAGACTGTTTGACGTTGGTGCACTGCTCGTTTCCTCACACAGCCTGGCAACACTATGGGGTCCTTACGTTAAAGGCGAAGTTGCCAAAAGGGACCTTTGCGCTCTCCAACTTCCTCAATCGCCATCTCGCCACAGTGCTCTGCGCATTTTGGGGTAACAATTCCCCTCCCGACCCGCGAAACCGGCGTTAAAGCTCGTGAAATCCTGGCAGAGCCGAGATTTCCGGCCTCTCATGTCCCGCAGACCATGCTCCTAAAAGTGCAGATCGTGTTTTGCTCCTTGCTGTTCCTCGAGTTTTTTGCACTTGGACTCGTCTGGGAGTGGTCTTGAAGTGGTCCTCGACTTGAATACTGTCATTAAGCGGTCTTGGTTTGGTCACGGTGTGTGGTCCGTTTGTGGTCCTATTGCGGTCTAAAAGTGCAGCTGCGTCGGCAGAGTAGGCCGGCATCGCTGCTTCTGTCTTTGCCAGAATCGCTAGCTAGGCATCAGTCCTGCTTGAATTGAATCTACGGCGTCTGGCTGCTGTCTTCAAAACCATTCAAAACATAGGTTGCTGCACAGTCTGAGGCACTGATGATTTCCGCAATGATCTGTCGGAGCGGAAAGACCGTCCCCTCACCCCCCACGCTGAACACATTCAATGGGATCTTGACACGTGAGAGAGAGATTTGCGAGTCTTATCAAAGTGAAGATAGGCGACAAAGATTGGGCCTGCGGGTGGGCTTTCGTTGTCCGTGAACATCTGGACCTTTCTCGAGCAACAACAGGGCTTCCGTAATGGCTATGAAGGCTTCTGAGCTCCAGGGCATCTGTTCCAGACCGAACAAATTTTGCCGAATTGGGGACTGTGAAAGTCTGCCTGCATGACACCACCCACAAGAATCATGACGAAGCTTGCCAAGCACTTAAGTCCATGCAGGGCCATCCAGAAACTGCGGCAGGGCGGCGTTTGCAGCTGACTTGCTTCAAAGTCGAAGAGGTCGTGAGAGTCGCGAGCCCAAGTACTAGCTACGACCTGGCAAGTCGAGAGTTGGGCGGATGTCCAACAATCCAGAAACCAGCCTTCACGCCCATCGGTCCTGCCCCAGATGTGGGGCTGGAAGTGCTCCCTGTCGACCTCAAAAACAAGACTCGAATCGTGCTTGCAACAGCGATAGCGTCCCAAGCAAAACAAACAAACACTTCTCGATGCGGTCCACCCACTTGAACTGGGAAACGTCTTGGCGCCTGCTTTTAGCCAGCACTCCTGCCACTATGCCAAATTTCGAGGCGAAATCCTCTGTCTCGGCGCACCACGGTCTGGTATGATGTCTGAACTGATACATGATGCGAAAATGTTGGGCTGGACTGCCAATGAGCCAGAAAGCAACATGGTGATATCCACTTGTGAAAGTCTTACTGTCACGCCATTGCGAAAGGAATGTTACCGCATTGCTGTTCCCAATACCCTTGCAGCAGGCCACAACAATTTACATTTCTTGAGCTCAAAGGGGTGCAGTGCATGGCTTGGGTTTGATTTGCGGCACAAAACGACACGACATGACAAGATTGGCACTTAGTGCCATCCGTCGGCACTTGTGTATTTGTGACGATCTCGCTCAAACAAATCTTTGGTGTAAGTCTTTTCTGCCCTTTTCCCCCCGTATCCCCCCGTGCACTTGACTGTTGCGTATGTGTTTGCTTGTTCTGTCTTTCTCTTTCTTTCGCCACGGCTAAGGACAGCGAAGGAGTGACTCCTGTCCGCGCCCTAGTGCGCCTCCACTTTTTACGGGGGCCAACAAGCAAGCCGCGCGCACTCGCACTCGGTGGCGAAAAGCAGACAAAAGAGGACGAAACGATGAAATGAACACGGAATAGTGCCCCTTAGTCGCACTGAAATTAAATAAAATGCCTGGGGCCCTTTATCGGAATGATCCCCGTTGTAAGCACTTGGGAAACTCAACTCCTTTGGAATGTGCAGGACGAAAATCGTGAGCGCCCGTCAGGGGCAAGTTTGGATCTGATTGGAATGGCTCCGGTCCGGTGGTCAACACATTACATATGACAGAAGAAGAACTGCGGTATGGAATATTACAAAGCTGAAAACCAACATGAGACGTAGCCGGGGGGCACCCGCCACTACCCGAAAAAAATGTCTTGAAGCAGCTACGGTCCCATTCGGTCCCCTGCCTGCTCTCGGAAAGGGCTCAGCTGTTCGTGGCATTCGCGTGGCCAGCTGGGGTGCCCCGAAAGGTTTCATTGGCACCGATGAGGAGCAAAATTCGAAAGCTGTTCGGCCTGCTCGGGTCCCCGGAAGGGTTCCCCGTCTGGTCCGACTGGTGGCACTGAAAAAAGGACAAAAAAAATCACTGTCGAGTGCTGCGGGCATTCCCCCTCCCCCGGTCTCTTTCAGCGGTTTGTCGTCGCCTCTCCGGCTTCCTTTGGGGCCGGCATTTAACCTGTTAGCCTGGTTGATCACGCGACGCTCTTCCTTTATGACCGCTGGCTGCGGGGAGACGCCGCTGGATCTCCTGCCTGAAGAGGAAATTCCCCGGATCAGCCATGTGTTTATTTGGAATAGGCGAGGAAGTGGTACGGCCTCCGTCAGAGCCGGCAGGCGCTGCTGTCGTAGTCGATCCCACTTTGGCTTGTGGGGGCGAATGGGGACATAACGAGTGCTGCTGGCCACGAGCAGGTGTGGGGGCACTCCCTGACATGACCTCAGTTGGAAGGCGCGGAGGCTCAAGCAAGGGGTCCTCCGGGTCCATATGGTCGACTGAGGAGTAGCTTGGCCTTGCGGGGGTTCCTAGTGTGTTGTCTGCAACCTTGGATTCGGTCTTGGTCGAGGGGGAAGGGTGGGAGCTTGAGCCGAGGGCCAGGAACATATCCATGCGTGCCAGTGCTCACGAGCTCAAGTCGTTTCTCTCGGGTTGCTTATGCGTGTGCAACAGCTAACTCCTGAGCGAAAACGTGGTCCTTCATTTTTGCCTCTTTTCAGCTGCCAGCTCCATACAAAGTTACCTTGGTGTGGCGGGCCTGGGACGTCTTGAAGTAGAAGTCGTCCAGGCTTTCGCCTCCTTCATAGCTTCTTGTGCAACTTCAAGGCGAGCTTCTCGCCTAACACTAGCCGTCTTGATGATACGCTGTGCTAAACGCTAAACCGTCTCCGTCTGGCACTGGCCGTGTGCCTTGCCGGCTCTGCAGGCCTAGCGTGGCCGGGTACCCATCCCTCCTCCTGCGTCTGCACGCTAGGTGCCCCGTTTCAAGTTCATCATTGCCTTTGGCACAGTGGAGCTTTAGGGCGGGTCCCCTTAGTAGTGTCTGCTCGCCGAAGTCCAAGATGTCCCTAAAGGCTGCATCTGACTCCTGTTTTCCGGTGTCACGTGAGATGTACTTGGCGAGCCTTGGGAGTGCCGGTAGCTGTTGTTCCGCTTTAGCCAGTTTATTGCGACTGCAGGTAGAAGAAGTGCTGGAGCTGCTGTGTCCTTCGGAGGTGGGTCATTCTCCGGGTGCCGCCTTTGACTTGGAGCTTGTGGTCAAGGTCTGGTGGCGGCTGGGGGCGGCGATCGTCGAGTGGCAGTCCGTCTCGTTGCCTGGTTCCCGGTTTTCTTGGTCTGCCTTGCATCTCCTTCCGCTCTTGGGCCTTGTGCTAACCGGTGTGCTTCGCTAGGATGCCTGTGTTGGCAACGTTGGGTTATTATTGCAGAAGTTTGCGAGCGGCTCCCCGTGCAGCATCGCTCAGGTACATTAATTATGCAAGTAGTGTTTGCTTCCTACGCTTTTGGTGATTCCGGGCAGGCACCGAAGACAAACGCGATTGCCTTCCACATAGGGTGGTTCCTTGACCTTTGCTGTTCCTCGGGGTGCTCGCGTGGAGTGTCCATGCTTCTCGGGTGTTCCTTGGATTCGCAGGATGCCTGCCACTTCCTCGGTCATGACCATGACCGTGACGCTCAGCCGGCTGGCACTGGCACGTCTATTCCCGTCTGCATTGGGTCTTCGTAAGACTGCTGGTGCTTCTGGATCACTCCGAGCTCCTACTGTCCTCAAGCCCCTGTGTCCCCATGGGGCCGGGGTCAAAGGAGGTCTTAAAATTTTCTTAGCGCGAACCCTGACACCCTTGCGAGCAAAATGTTGCGGCGTGTCGCCTCAAGCCCCCCACCAGGTCCCCCCGGTCGACAGCCGGGGGTTCCAAAAGGATGATGAGAGACTTGAGCCAATTTTGACTGTCTCTTTGTTTCTTTGTTTCGCTAGGGCTGTGGGCCGGGGATTGCTCCTCTCTCTCTCTCTCTCTATCCGCTCTCTCTCTCTCTCGATTCTGATCACCCAGCGATTTCAAGCGAGCCCAATAGCTGCAGAATCGACTCGAGAGTAAGAAAGTGGGTACTGCAATTGCCCCACATCAGGATGGGAAAACTGTGCTGGAATTTCCTCTAAGCACCTTGTACTCGCTTACATCTCAAGAAAGATAAATAATTACGCCTCCTGTCTGTGCAAAGTACCTGGCCTCAATAGCAGACGGGTGTTGCTGTTTAGTGCTTTCTGTGGCCAGCCGCCAGTGTTTACGGTCCAAGCAAGACGTGATCCCGTGGCGCGCAGGTTCCGATTCACTAGTTTGTGAGGGAATGGCAGAACTGTTCGCGGGGGCCTCTTGTAATATTCAACCTGCTGATTGAAACTATGCTTTGCTGAACTTTGCTGAACCAATTCTGTCGGAGTCTGGCTACGTATCAGCCAGGGTTAACAGAAGCAACAGGCCCCCGACTTCGCCAGTCCAAGCAGACGTCCATTCACTTCGGGTAGCAGGGAGCCTTTCTCTGCAGGTCCATCAGCCATGCGAATAGCAGGTCTGGATGGCCGGAGTTTTTCTGCAGCGCCATCCGTTTGCACCCCAAGACGTTCACGTAGTGGTGCCCTTGCAGAATCCTTGTCAACCAAGTTTCTGACCGTCCCTGCTGCTGGCCCCCTACGCTGTAGAACGCGCATCTGAACAGTGGTGTCCAATCCAGTCTCTTGAATGCACGACATGAAGCTGGCTGTTGTGACGTGAATGTCAGCTCTAATGCTGCCTTCCCACTCGATGCTCGCAACTACCTCGGCTCCCTCTTCCAACACATGGCTCGTTGAAAGGATGCTATCATTCTTTCGAGCGTGAGTCCAGATTTTCCTGTGGCTGTTATGGTCCTCGGGAGTTCCTGCCGATCCTGACTTGTTCATTGATCCCCTTTTGAGCTTAACTGTCATCAGCATTAAGACCCAGCATTCATACAAACGCTCCGCCGATGAACCTACATGCAGGAAACGCTGAGCACAACACAGCAGCATTGTTTCTTGAAATGGGGCATACCTCGGTAATTGTCTTCCGTCCTCAAAATGGAGGCCGCATGTTCCTGGAGATCGACAGCATCCTGTCCGCATCACCCCAGGGAAAAGGAGTGCGAGAACAATGTGCAAGGCATCTCCCGATTTTCGGGCGGGTAAGGGAGGGAGATGAAAATCGCTGGAGAGTTGCGTAATCCGCAAAGCATCTCCCACCCACCCACCCCTTGAAAGTAACGGCATTCGCAATGCCACGAACTCCGTACCGGAAGCGGTGCCTTGCCGAAGCAAGTCGGCCAAATCAGTCGCCATTGACTGAGGGTCACCCCGTTGAATGAAAATCGCTGGAGAATTGCGTAATCCGCAATGCATTTCCCACCCACCCACCCTTTGAGAGTAACGGCATTCGCAATGCCATGCAATGCCAATCACACATAACTCAGAGGGAGGGGACATGGTGACATTGATGACATGGTTCTTAATGCACCAGCATGTTGTGAACATCAAACATGCTCCGTGATAACAGCCGCAACACAATGCGAGATGCACAAGTGCATGTAGTTCATGTTTCACATAAGTTACTGTAAAGGGTTTCAGAGCTACTCCAATAGCATTGCACTCCGAAAATGGCGTTTCTGCTCCATGATTCTCTCCTTCCGCAACTGCAACCTGGCCGAGGGCGGAGCTCGGCCGATGCAGTGCGATCCATCAACACCTTCCAAAGCGGGCAGCAAAGCATGAGTGACAGGGCGTCGCTGCTGGTGTATGAAAGGGCCAGACCGGAAAGCAACGGTCCAGCCCCAGGGAGAAAAGATTGGCTAAAGACTCCACCTTCTGGAGCCAAAGTGTAGCCTGCACTGACCACACTCAGCCTTCCCGTCAGAATCGAAAAGCTCAAACTGCACGGGCGGTGCACAAATCAAGAAGCGGGATAGCACATGTCGCTTTCTTGGCTCAGATGCATGGCGCCACAGCACATAGACGGGTAGGAACAAGTGGTGAGGTTCTCACCACTGACTAAGTTTAATTTCGATCTGTGAAACCTGCTTCTGAAAATTGCTGCTGCAGCTGCAAACCAAAAGGAGCCTGGAGATGCGACTGTTCGCTGCTCAGGTGCATCGTTTTTCGAGGAGCATCACGCAAGCAGGCTGGAGCAAACTCTAGAAAAGCAACGTAGTGCCGTGAATATACTCAAGCTCTGCAGAGGATGCAGTACGTAGGACCAGTAGTGATTAGAACGCGAAGCAACTGGACCCGTGTGGTTTGGGACAGCGAGAATCGCTCTGCAGAGCACTTGCACCGCTGAACTTCACATGGCTTTCACCATTGCTCAGTCGTCTAGATCCTCGTCTGCCTCCTTCTGCTGCCATGTTGAGGTACCCAACTTGTGTGCACACTTCTTGCATCGTGCTGCAGGCACCTCCTCATCTCCATCTCTCACTGCCAAGGGTATGGCACCTCAGTAGACAGTTTAACTTTGGCAGTGCCTCTGTGCATAGAACACTACAACACTGTAGGTTCCTTTTGTGATGGCTGGGGGTCGCTCCATGAATGATTTTCTCACCAAATGCCAAGCGCACATCGTAGTCTCCGGATTCCATTCCAGATGGAACCTGCACGTTTGCGTGCTGAACTGTTTGGATGCAGGTCCTCAGCTGCCTCCACACAAAGCTTCTTGCCCTTCTTGACTCCTGTCGGCCTGAGTGCATCATTTCTAGGCCGTTCTTCTGGCTGCCAAACGCGGCTGTTGATACCTTGCTAACATGTTGGGAATCTGGGTGACAAGCACCAGCTTTTTCTGTACAGGGCCGTTGACAAGGACGATGCCCAATCCTGGGTCCAAGTCAACATGGCGAGAAAGGGCTGAATCTCGTTGAAGGATGCAGAGGATAAGCCCGTGACTGTCCCAGAAGCCCTGAGGCACCTGAACATCGCACGAGACGCGCATTACTCGCAGCCTACCACCTCAGCATTCGCCATGATCGGCATGGCAATGTGCACACACACACACACACATCCACGCGCACGCACACACACACATACATACACACATACACACACACACACACACACCCGCGCGCACATGCATGCGCATACACATAAAGACACACACACACACAGAGAGAGACACACTTTCTCAAAGGCTGATTGCACTCATGGTTGGCAACGTTCGAGATGATGTTGATGATGATGATGATGACGGAAACGAAAGATGAGGTGGACAACTTTGGTAAAACCAAGCATGCCACACGTCAAGAACGACACACAAAACTGGGTGAGATGATCCGTATGTGGTAGGGTTTCTGCCCCCCTACATCAGACACCGGGAATGATGTAGAACGAGGTGAGAAGGAGATGGAACATTTACCTGGGATTTAGAGGAGCGCTTTGGTGGACGGAGCTCCCCTATACCCCCTCCATCCCCTGCAAGAAGAATGAAAATGAAAAAGAAAAAAGACTGACACACACGCACAAACACACATACACACACACACACACTCACACACACACGCGTACGTGGGTGCGCCTCCTTGCGCAGGCTTACGACCACTTTGCCACCCGAGGTAGGAACCTCGACGGGACATATGACAAATAGTGCGGACTCGGCAGGCCAGCGACATGGGGCCAGCGACATGGACTGCGTGAACAATTCATGTGAACAAGACTAGAACAAGCGCAAGCCATCTCATCACCTGGAAAGCTGAGAGCCCCGGCGGCACAGGGCTTGACGGAAGAGAGCCTCTGGCCATCCACCAGGCCGGGGATAAGACCCTCTCCGGTGGCCTGAAGGTCGCGAGCCGCGAAACGACGTGAAACCCATCTCGGACGCGACACTACGGGGAAAGCTGAGCTACACACATTGCTAAGCTTGCTGATGCTGCTGTGGACAGTGCTGGGCTTGGACCATGCAGACGGCACGCCTGCACACTCACATGGCTGAGACAGAAGCCGACTGCATGCTAAATCAGGACTGCAGCTCAGCTTTGGGCTGCATTGACTGCCCATCTCCCAGGCCCATTCATTCATGTCACCTGACAGCAAACTGGGAAGCCCCTGTCCAGGCAGAACCCCGACGCATCTGAGACAGGAGCTCAAGGCCCCTAGCTTGCTTTGCTTGCTGACATCTCCAAAACCTGAATGCCCGACACATGCTTCCACTTTCTGAGATAGAGCCGCTTCCGGCACCTTTGGGTGAGTCGCCATACTGCGGCGTTGTGAGAGTTGGCGACCTCGGAAACCGCTGACCGCTGACCGCGCAGGAGCTAAAACCTCCATGTCTAAAGCAGCGAGGCGGCGCATTGGGTCCTAAAGGACAGATCAAGCCCCCCAGAGGTGAAGCCTCCGGGAGCATCGGGGCCTGAGAGTACGATACGGTTCCTACATCACATACAGCGGCAGCCGCTGGACTCTACATACTTACTGCCTGCCTCTGGTATTCGCCTCTGCGATGGAGAGTCCTTGCATAGTCACGCGAACAGCATTTGCTCCAGTACAGTAACGACGGCAGCTTTGCTCGGCGGAATCCTTTTCGAAAGGCAAAGGAAGTGTAGGCCCCAATGGCAGCGAACGCGGTTGCGCGTAGCCCGACATGGTGCTCTACGGTGGCTGCTCTGTCGTTAGGAATGGTGATGGAACTGAAACAAAGGGTGAATGGGGATGGTGGGGGGTTGCTTGCAAAGTGCAGAACTTTGCATCTGCCTGCATGTGCGAACTGCAGCGACACTGCACAAACTGACTCCTGTGGCTTCATGATGATGCATTTGGCTCTTGAAAGAGCTTCGGAGGGATGAGCATTTCACGATGCAAGCAATCCTGTATTTCAGCAAAGCTGCGTGTCTCTTTTGCATTACGCAAGGAGAACGCCTTCCTCCTTGGTTCTTACTCTGGCCTTCGATTCAGGCCACTGCGCCCCCGTCAGCTCGACAAACTCCTCTCTCCGACGGGACACCGGCAGAGAAACAGCTGGTCCGAGGCACACAAAGCATTCCTGCCACAGCTTCTCGCGAGCTGCAGCATCTTGAATCACCTCATGGGCCATATCTTGAGTCTCCCATCAGGAAGCCAGGATAGTGGCCTGTGGCATCTTCTCTGCATCGCCGACAAAGTGACCGCCTGTGCTTGCCGCCACGCACACATACCGGTTGGTGAGAGTTCCGCGTCACGTCAGCGTTGACATGAAAGCCAAGACCCTGGCTTTCATGTTGGTACTTGTCATCGACCATTGCGAAGTAAGCTGCTTTCCGAACTCGCGGTGCTGGAAGATAGTCTTGGAGACGCTTCGGGCAACCAACATGCCGGCTGCAGATCATGGCGTCTCGCATGTTAAGCAATGCTGCACGGACTACTCACAAAACGGCAGTTTACACGGTGTAAGGTTGTCCTTCCAGAAGCGCAGGACGCGATTAGGTGCCAGGTCCGGGTGGTCCAAACTGCTTCAGTTGGCAAACGGTTTTATTGCGGCTGTGGCGGATGGCAAAGCAGCCAAAGTTTTTGGAAATAGACTACGCAATGCCGGCCAATTAAAGTGCCTGCCCAACGGCATGAAACGACATGCCTCTACGTGCAAACGGAAACTGCCCACTGGACAACTCATGGGAAACTGGATCGTGTTGTGGAATCAGGGCTTCGGACTCCGGCCAGCATGGAACCATTGCGAATCGAAAATATGTGTCTCGTGATTTTATGGTGATTTGGCCGTGGCTAAGAGTGCGCTTTTGGCCTCTTCGAAATCCTTCAGTTCTCTATGTTCGTTACACGTAAGCGCACGAGCGAGAGAGAGAGAGAGATAGAGACAGAGAGAAGGCGCACTCACTCTTTTTGTCGGCGGAGGTTGCATTGTTTCAGTGCTGTGCGAGGCACGACTATAGCCCCCTGAAAAAAGAATGTTGCTAGGGCTGCTGCCCGTCACGCAGTGTGATCTATGTGGTTTGAGCATCAGTGGCAAAGCGGTGCGTCACATGATAACACATAGAAAACACTGCTGGCTAAACAAACAAACGCACAGCGAGCGTATCTTGTAGCTATTGTAGCTGTCTTCGCAGCCAGTGTCCAGCGATGCTTCCCCTTGTAAACGAACTGTGATTCTCTTGTGACGCTGGCTGTGAGTAGGAGCAAGTCGTCGTCGGCGTGGTTGTAACAGACAATAGTTCAGTGATTTCCCGCCCGGGTTCAGGGCCTCCGTTATTTCTCTCCGGGATGAGATCACAAGAAAATAACAGGGTAACTCACAGGTTACTGTCTACGAAACTCACAGAGTGAACGGATCCACATCCATGGCATCACAGAACAAGCAAAAGTTTGGACCAGCAGGGAGAAACTTCACGAAGACTGGTCTAGAAAATGCTGAGCATGCCATTCGGTTCGTCCCAAATTTGCCTGAGGGCGCCATCCGTCCCCAGCAACATGCACACATGCGCACACGACCGCCAATTTTCAGTCTGGACGTGTCCAAAAGCTTCCGACCAGAAACTTCCAGAAGCCCACAAACAAACAACAAACAAATGCCTCGCACCGAACTTGTCCTATCTTTTCCTTAACCGAATCCCTGCCCGCGAAAACGGGCTTGCAATCCACAGCTCGACAGGCGGATCAAGATGGAATAGCTCACAAGATCTTGTGCCTGCTGCTGACACCAGCTTGTTCGGGATTTGGCGAAGGCCACGGGCTGTGGGGAGGGGTATCGACGTCGAGCCACAGACCACTACAGGTCACTAAGCCAGGCCACTGGAACGGGCATCCATCCTGTCCTTCCGCACATCTCCCGGCATAGCATCAAATGAGTCAGTATGGACTTTTCTGGATCAGCGACGGAGGTTCCTGGGGCTGCGTCGGGCCGGCATCGATGTGGCATAGTCTGAGCTTGTCCTCGCTCGCCGAGCACATGATCTCCACATCCGACACCACAGGGGTCCCGAAACACCCGACAAAAAGACATCGGAGTCTGCAGAGTCCCAATGTCCACCGGGGCCGGCTCCTCAGTCACGGCTCGAAAGTTCACATGTGGCCCATCATGTGGCATCGTCGAGCTCGTCGCGGGCGTCTGCGGTGCCACCGAATCCTCTCGCCATCTCTTGCCTGGTCTCCTTCTCCTTCTTCGTCTCCTTGCGGGTCTGGTAGTCCGGGGCCATGTAGATGAGTACGGAGTTCCAGATGTGCATCTGGCTCAGCGGCATCTTCGGCAACGGCTCGGTCATTCAACATCGGACGCATCTCACCCAGCACCGCTCTGCGTTCCCGTGATTTCCCGTGCTTGGTTTCCGAGTGCGCGCAGGTCGCCGAACTGCTCAACACAGGACTGAGAACGCCCGCTGTGCTCCACCTGACTCCATGTTGGGGCGTTGTTGCTTTGCCTGCTCGTCGTTCTTCACCAGCACACGAGTTGGAGGTCGTTCCAGACGAGTCGCCGCCCGGGCCGCCAGGAGTCCAGGAGCGCTTGTTCTGGTCGTTGAAGTTGCAGCGCTATGCGCTCCAAAATCTCTCTCGTCGGGCTGTGGCTGCGAGACTGCGAGATCATTTGCTCCAGGCCAAGGTAACTTGGCTTGCCAAGGCCAAGAAGTAGCGCAGCACGCATCACCGCCATCGCTGGAGGAACAGCGGCAACTTGTCCCGTTCCATTAAAAACCAGGAAAACAGTTCACCCCACGTCTCACTCTTGGTGAAGCCAGAAGGGCTCAGGATTTGTCAATTGTTTCCAAACTCGCACAAGCTCAGTTCCATGTGTACTACGACGTCTCATGCACTGCACAGCCCTGATGCGTGCAACAGACTGCTCCTGGCATGTCTGTCACTGCCCCGGCATCATATGGGATCATACCAGGAACCACCTGAACTCGAAAGACGCCCGGCTTGCCTCAATCCGGAATTTACCCTACGAACCACAAACTCCACGAACCGTGCCCCCGATCTCACTCGTACTCTGCACTCTCAACTTGTAAGATCTTTGCAGGCACATGTCATGCTGCTGCAATGTCTGCTCCCCGATAAGACGATAAGACCATGCTGAGCTGCTGTATCGATCAAGCCACAACCCTCAGACTCTTCAGTACAACTAGCAGTAACTAGCAGGTAACCAGCAAAGGTGTAACTCAAGAACGACTCGGCCGTGTATTCCCAAGATGGCAGGATGCCGTTCGGTCGATAGAGCTCCGCAGGCTCCTTCGGTGACACCTGGGCGGGGACATCAAGGATCGGGCCCCTCCAACAAATCCAATGAAGGACCCGAAAGTACTGCTCAAAAACGACCCAGTCTCACTTGTCGAGTCTCACGAAGAAAGGACTCGCCGACACAAGCGGGGCCTGCATCGGCGGAGTTGGCGATCTCGGCCGAGCCTGCGGTTGTCGGCATTCACATGACCAGTGCCCGATCTGCTTGCACTGGTGTCTGTTCTGAAACGACGTCCCCAGGCCCCAGGCCAACCATACCCTCGGTCGGTGCAAAAGCACTCGCCCGTGGTCAGGGTTCGCCATAGAGCCCCACGCCCTTTGCAGTCGCGCGCTTCTCTATTCCTTTTCCCTTTTCCTTTGCTAGAGGCAAACCGACCAACTCTCGTCGGCTTGAGAAGATCCTCAAACAAGTCCGCCCTCCTCGTCGAAAGAGGCTGGCTCTCATCGCCATAATCGTCATCTTCTTCCTGCCAGAAGGTCCTGGCAAGGGCTTGGGCCGTGGCTGCGTCATCAAAGGTATCCCCGCACAGCTTTCGGATGGCCGGCTGCACCTTAGGAAAATTGATCGCGCCATCCGTGAGCACCTTGATCCGCTACCTTTGATCCTCTGGGGTTCAGCGAACAGGTTTTCGTCTTGCCAAAGTGGCGAACTCTGTCCCTTCACACCCCGGGTGGGCGGGCGGGACGAAAAAATTCTCAGACGCTACCTTTGAGCATCGAGCAGCCGGATGTAGATATATTTCTCAATCCTCGAAGGAGTCATGAAAACAAAAAGCTCATAAATCAATCGTCTCTCCCAAAATGGGCGACATGAAAATTTTTCGAAACATGAAAACATGTGAGCAAACTAATCTCAGAAATAAGGACTTATCAAGCTCGCTTGACGTCCATCTTATTTCTTCGCTTTCGTTTTCGGCGAAAACTTTAGTTCAAAGCAAAAGTTTTCGCAACCTTCTATTTGGTCAGGGATCGTAATATGAATATAAATGGAGTTATGTTTTCTCAAATGATATTTCGCGTAATAATTTATGGAAATATTCTGCATCGAATCGAAATGTATTATGGCAAGAAGCAAGAAGCATCGCTCTCTTCGTTTTCCTCCTAGGTGAGCGTGGGGTTCAGCGAACAGGTTTTCGTCTTGCCAAAGTGGCGAACTCTGTCCCTTCACACCCCACGACTAGGAGAGAGGAGCCGCTAGCCAAGAGCAAGGCCACACACTTCTGCGGGATCGCACCGCACTCTCTCGCCCCAAACTGAGCGGAGCACACCGCGGGAAGGTTCATCCGCCACGTTGCTTGAGGTGCAGACTCTCTCAAACCACACTATGCAATCAGACAGATCAAGAATGGTGTGGACTAAGCGGACTATGGCATTCCCTTCGGGATTCTCTGAGTAGCCTTTGATCATGGAACCAAGGGCACCATTGTTGTTGGTATATACAACTAGGTGCTTTCCGGCTATACGCGAGTGCCACAGATGCAAAGCGCACAGAATGGCAAGACATTCAAGCTCGAAGATGGGGTTCTGACTCACTCCAACATTGATGGAAGCAAGAGCAGGCTCATCAAGCATCTCGGAATAATACTCTAAGTACTGTCCGGAGCTGTCGATAAGATTGCCACCCAAGCCTGCAGGATTGGGGGACTCGGGCTCGTGACAGGCATCCACGAAGATGTGCACGGTGTCTTGAAGGGCGGAAGTGACTCGCCTGGGCTTACCGCTGGAGATGCGGTAATTAAGGAACTGGAGGTGGAGCCTGGTTGCAGGGCTCCCGAGAGGACATGTCGAGACAGGCCCCTGCTGAAGGCGTGCTGGGAAAGCTTCCCGAAGAGTTGAGTGTCCATGAAGTTCAAGCGCCCCCTAAGTCGCCCGCCGTCCTTCGCCGACAAGAAGTTCTCTTCAAGAGCCTTGCCAATCTCGGCGGAAACATCCTCAACCCTTTTGGCGGTATTCCTAATGACTAATGTCCCCAGCTTAGTTTCTTCAAGGTCGTACTCGAGGCCTAGAACCTTGCAGATCCCCGAAAATGGGTTGTCCTTTTCACTCGAGGTTTCCCAGCCGAGAAGGCTGAAAAGGAAATCGATCCCCATCCTAGCTATGGGA